GATGAAGTTGAGTAGCTTGGGCAGGGCTGCTGCCATGTGGCAGGGAGCCAGGTACATGATCAGCAAACCCATCTGAACCCCGTGGCCCCACTTCACAAGGAGGGACTCACAGCCGGCTGTCTGAGGAATAGTGGCCTCCCTCGGTCTCAGACCTTCTTTAATAATAACCACTACTCCCCCGCCCCTGCCTTGTAACCTCAGCTGATGGAATGCGAGGAAACCTGGTGGGCACATTCAACGAGGGGAACTCCCCCCTCCTGGCCCAACTAGGTAGAGCTAGAGCAAATGGGAACACCCCTTCCCCAAATTCTCATAAATATGAACCAGTTGCCAAGGATCTGAATTTTGATCACATGATTACAGGGATTTGCAAAGGTTGTAAGTGTGAAAAACGGCTGGAAGTCACTTTTTTCAATCCTGCTGTAAACTCTGAATAGTCACTAAATGAACTGCTGTAAGTCAAAGACCACCTGTACATAGAGATACCTGGATGTATCACTCTCATTCCAGTTTTTTTTCCTACTTATATTAGGTCTGTCCCCTTTCAGTGTGTAATGAACAGTGCCATCGTGGAAAACACAAGAAAAAGAAGGAAGGGGAAAAATTTTGTTGCTATGACTGTGTTCCTTGCCCTGAAGGGGAGATTTCAAACAAAACAGGTACATTATCCATTACTATAACATTACTCTCTTGTTTCTCATCTAACAGCAGTAATATAAACTGCTGCATCAGTTTTAACTAACCAGAACTCTGAAACTAACATCTCTTGAGTACAAAGGCAGCATGATGTCAAGGAGTTCTGTTACTTTCCCACCAAAGTGGTACCTATTTATCTGCTCACATTTGTATGCTTTCAAATGCTAGGTTGGCATAAGATGGGGAAGGACAGGAGCTCACCCCATCATATGGTACTCACTTGTCATCCAAGGTGTTTCACTTTTCATTCAAGAAGCTGAAGAAGCTTCTTGGAGGAGAAGCAAAGCGTCTTCAAAGAAAAATTAGAAAGTCCAGTTGCCTCTTGAAAAAGCACCTTTGGGTCTTTGGGACTTATGTGAAATACAAATCAGTCCATGTTACGTTTGGTGGCTCTGAGTGAAGGTCACCCCGTTGACTTTTTCACTAAGGTGGGAGTAGAACTCACAATCTTGTGGTTCCTTGCAGAATGTCATAATCATGAGGTCAAATTGACATCCATCTATCTATCTATCTATCTATCTATCTATCTATCTATCTATCCATCCATCCATCCAGTGGTGGGATGCTGCCGGTTCGGACTGGTTCAAGTGAACCAGTAGTTCCGATGATTAGCTGGCCCCACCCACCCATCCCTGCCCTATCCTGTCCTATATTTCCTTCTTTCTGGTTCAGCTGATTTGCACAGCATAGCTGATTTCCGAACCTCCACTGTTCTACTTACCAGGGCTGCCTTAAAATGTAAACAGCTGAGCTTCAAATTGCTGTATTTTGAATGCTGCGCACAAGCGTGTTAGGCACGCGCTCACAGAACTGGTTGTTTAATAACTGGTTGCAGCCCACTATCTATCTATCTATCTATCTATCTATCTATCTATCTATCTATCTATCTATCTACCTATAGCTGTATATAAAGATACACAGAGACACAAACAAACTCATGATGTTACAACTCTCCTTGGGAGACAAAATGCTATACACAAATTAACCAGAAATCTTTCTTCCTTCCTTCCTTCCTTCCTTTCTATCTGTCTTAAAGATATGGAAAAATGCCTCAAATGTCCAGAAGACCAATACCCAACCAAAGGAAAAGATGACTGCATACACAAAGTTGTAACATACCTTTCTTACAAGGACCTTCTAGGGTTTACTTTGGCCTCCATTTCTATTTCATTGTCAGTGATCACTGCTCTGATATTAGGAATATTTCTTAAGCACAGAGATACCCCTCTGGTCAAAGCCAACAACCGGGACCTCACCTACATTCTCCTTATCTCCCTCTACTTCTGCTTCCTGTGTCCTCTCCTGTTCATTGGTCAACCCAATGAAGTCACTTGCCTTCTCCGACAACCAACCTTTGGCATCATCTTCTCCGTGGCTGTTTCTTGCATCTTGGCCAAAACCCTCACTGTGGTTGTAGCCTTCATGGCTACCAGACCAGGCTCCAACATGAAGAAGTGGGTGGGAAGAAGGATGGCAACTTCCATTGTCCTTTTCTTCTCTCTCATCCAAGTTGGCCTTTGTGCCATCTGGCTAGGATCTTTCCCTCCATTCCCACAGTTGAACATGCATTCTGTGACCGAGGCCATCATCAATGAATGTAACGAAGGCTCTACTGTCATGTTCTCCTGTGTCCTAAGCTACATGGGCTTCCTGGCTCTTGCCAGCTTCTTTGTGGCCTTCTGCGCTCGCAGATTACCGGACAGCTTCAATGAAGCCAAATTCATTACATTTAGCATGCTAGTATTTTGCAGTGTTTGGGTGCTATTTGTTCCAACTTACCTGAGCTCCACAGGAAAAGCCTTGTTGGCTGTGGAGATCTTCTCCATTTTAGCTTCTAGTGCAGGATTATTGGGCTGTATCTTTTCCCCTAAATGCTACATCATTCTGTTCAGACCAGAGATGAATACCAAGGATCAGCTAGTAAGAAGAAAGAACTGAAGAATTCAATTCCTTTACTTTCTGGTACAATGTTGAATAGTATGTGTAACATTTTGGGATCAAAAATTCATTGTAATGTCATTTATATTTCCTAATATTATTCAACTTCTTTACCAAGATTTATGGTGAAGGTAATAAGAATAAAGAGTTACAATATTAGATATCTTTCATTTCTGGTGCAATGTTTATTAGTATGAGTAAGATTTGGGGATTCAAACATCAATTACCATCAATTCTGTTTGCCTAATAATATTTAGCTTCTTTATCAAGAAGGATATACAAAGCATTGAAACCTCTCCTCAGAGGCAGTCCAGTCTTATAAAAAGCTTGACATTTTGACTCCAAGGGATTCTAAGGCATTTTTCACATGTTTGTGGATTTGCTTTATCAATAACACCAAGTTAAGTCCTGTCTGGACACTCTCAGATGACCTGGGAAGATCTTTCAGCCTTCCTGTGAATATGGCTGTCTAAGCTTGATTTACAAAATGCCTCTTCAAATGTTTCTCCTGGTTTTTTTCCAGTTTTTCCTTTTATTGGCATCAATGCATTCTTAGGGTTTTGCTCATTCTCCAGAAGATATTTCTGGTCAACAAAACTCCACATAATGATGCCCAGATGTCAGATCACTTTGCTTCGGAGCTCCCCATCCTCTGGGTACCAAATTACCGACAAAGGCAACTATTTTGGCAGAGCAAGGGGTGACAAGATAGCAGTGTTCCAATATCTAAAGGGCTGCCAAGAAAGAAGCGAGGCATCATCCTATATGCCAAAGCACCTGAAGGCAGGAGAGGATACAATGAATGGAAACTAATCAAGGAGAGGACCAAGGTAGAACTAAGGAGAGATTTCCTGACAGTTAGAATGATTGATCAATAGAATAACTCATCTCCAAAAATTGTGTTGCTCCAACACTGGAGGTTTTTAAGAAGAGTTTGGACAAACATTTGTCTAGCAGGGTTTTCTGCTTGAGCAGAGGTTTGATTTTTTTTGGCCCATTTTTGGGGCTTTTATGTCCCATTTTCGAGGCTTTTTTTGGCCCTTTTTTGGGGGGAAATGGGCAGAAAAAAGCCCTGAAAACCAACCAAAATAAAGGCCCAAAAATGGGGCATGCAGAGGCCAAAAAATGGCCAGCAGGTGGGCGGGGCTTCAGCAATATTCAGTCTATGAGACACACAGACATTTTTGCTCCTTTTTTGGAGACAAAAAAGTGTGTCTTATAGTCCGAAAAATACGGTAATAGTTGTTATAAGGCCCAAAGTAAAGCCATATCGTGAGAAGCAGAAAGCTGAAAGCGGCATAGAAAAACTCCAGAGAAAGTGGTGTACATGCACAAAAGCACACTGAAATCATCTGACATGACAGGCAAGAGCCATGAGTCCCATTTAAGAGTTAATCAGAATAAAGAAAATGACACCCGAGTTTAGGTGTGTTAGAGAGTCACTGGTATAGCAATAGCAAAGGCTATTATAGTTTATATGCCACTCCATAGTGTGTTACATTACTCTAAGGGTGGTTTGCAGTGTCAGCATTTTGCCCCCAATAATCTGAGCCTTCATTTTATCAGCCTTGGAAGGAGGGAAGGATGGGTCAATCTTGAGTCAACCAGGATCAAAATTCTGACTGTGGCCATAGTTAGACTGAAATTCTGCTTTCTTAGCATTGCGTCACCAAGCAATGATTGAACAAAAAGGGCCGTCCAAAGGATTTGTTGGAAACCTCTATCCAACTCCTTTCCAACCCCTATGTAACCTCCTTTCCAACTCCTCTTGAAAGAAGGGGACAACTCACAGCCGCTAGGTGTGTATGGCTGGGTGGTTGCAGTTGGGTCAGCAAAACTAGATGGGCATAGATGGGTGGCATAGCACACTTGCTAACTCAATATGCCACACCACCTTCCAAACTTGAAGGAAGAACGAAAATACAATTATTAGCAAAAAAAAGTTATTTAGAATTCCAAACCCAGCATTCAAAGAATTATTATCTGAATTATCTCTCTCCGGATTTAGTCAAATCAATTTTGTTTCAGCCAACCTATTGTTCAACTATTTCTCAGGGGAAAATAAGTCTGAACATGTCTATTATGCCTCCAATATTCAAAACTGGGAGGAGGGACCTGAAGTAAGTGAGTTTCTGAAGAGTTAATTTTTCAAATCTCTCCCTTTTTAATCTACTGGTATCCATCTGAATTTAGAATGTTAGCAGGCTCAGTTGATACACATCGACTTGCATTTATCACTTTGTTAAATGGGAACCAATCTAATTTTTCTCAAAAATGATAATGGTCCCAATCAGAGGCAGATTAAAATGGCAGTTGAAATGAACTAGACTGTACAGATGCAGAAAGCTGAGATTTTCTCTCAGACGATGAAACAATCTCTGGTTTTGGCTCTGATCTTTAACTTAGTGGGAGATATAGCCGGTCTGAAATGTCACCAGAGTGATCTTATCCCCATTCCTCATGAGTGGTACCAGACAGCTGACCTCCTCATTGGTGGGATGGTCTCTCAGTTTATGTATGCGTTCAGTGAAGATCTATTTGAGGAAATGCCTTCACAGGTCTCAGCTGACTTTTCTGAGTAAGTGTTTTTACCTATGGAGATTCTCAGAAATCCAGGTCATAGTTACTGTATTTTGAAGGTTTAATGTCTTTTCTTTCAAAAGACAATTGGATTGTTTGTTTGTTTGTTTTTTATTTGAAGAGGAAGAGGAAGAAGATGGAAGACTACCAGTGAAGGCTTTCAAAAAGAGACTGGACAACCATACTGTATGTCTGAAATAATATAGGGTCTCCCAAAGGTGCTTTTTCAAGAGGTACAGTAACTGGACTTTCTCTTCTTTCTTTGAAGATGATTTGCTTCTCAGAGCCGAAGAAGCTTCTTTTGATGAAAAGCGAAACGTCTTTAAAGAAAAACCAGAAAGTCCAATTGTCTCTTGAAAAAGCATCGTTAGGACAACCATGACCCTGATGACTGAGAATCTCCACAGACAGATATAGGGTCTCCTACTCAAGCAGAAGGTTGGACCAGAAGACCTACGAGGTTCCTTCCAACTCTATTATTCTATCTTCTGAGATATTTTGCTTCTTCTTCTTCTTTTTTTTTTTCTAATTCGATTTATATGCCGCCCTTCTCCGGAGACTCAGGGCGGCTTACAGTGTGTTAAGCAATAGCCTTCATACTTTTGTATATTTATACAAAGTCAGCTTATTGCCCCCACAAACTGGGTCCTCAATTTACCTACCTTAGAAAGGATGGAAGGCTGAGTCAACCTTGAGCCTGGGGAGATTCGAACTTACTTTAATTGCAGACAGCTGGTGTTAATCAGAATGCTATCAGTCTGCTGAGCCACCAGACTCCTATGCAAGAAGCTTCATCAGTTATAATGCTATAGATTATACAACAGTTATAATGTTATAGGTTACACATAATGTTCATTGGTTATCATTATAACTGATGCAGCATCTTTGAGAAGAATCTCAAAGGTGCTTTTTCAAAAAGCAACTGGACAACTATATCAACTATGATCTGGATGACTGATAGTCTACACTGATACCTTGGAAAATGAAGACACAAATAAAGAAACAGTCCAGTTGCCTTTTGCAAGAAAAAAATGGAACTTTAACAGAATATGTTTGTGTGTGTGTGTGTGTTTTGGTCACTACACCTGCAAATATTAGCCAGACTGACAACAAAGGTGGAACTGAGGAACTTTGTCTGTGAGAGATAATATTTCATAAACTATAATACCTTACTCAGTATTAGCGCTACTGTTAAGTAAACAATGCATTGGTCCATCCTTATGGATAATTTTTTTTATTTTGAAACATTGGCCTAAGGTTCTAGAGAAAGGTAATGTGCTAGGAAACAACAACAAAAATAGTCAGTCTCTCTTTTCTTTGATGTGAAAACAGTTACAATATCTAGCTTGCACAATAATATAAACAAAGTGTGACTATATTAAAGATATACTTTTACGCTGCTATATTTTATAGCCAGTTGACTTGAGCTGTGGTTTTCCCATTCATTTATAATAATGCAATAAACTTGATGTCAGTTACAATTTTCTATGCATATGGAACTTTCTATTTAACATTTCCTTGTCTTCTCATGAAAATTACAATTGTGTTTTGCAGCCCCTGTGCTCCATCCCTTCTTCATTTTTTTTCCTTTAATGGCTTCTGTGCTAAAAATTTAAATTTATTGATCAATTGATTCAATATGTACAACAACCCCTCTTACCAAGTAACTCTGAATGATGAACAATGTTTTTTCTTTCTTTAAAAAAAATACAGTTACAATTAAAAATTCAATTAAAATTAATATTTATTTTAGTGTTGCATTTAATCTCTCCAGTTTTTTTTATTGCAAATCACATTTTAAAAACTAGGTGGACTTATGTAATTGAGTTTAGAAAAAAACATCAAGTAAAAGAGTATTTTTGTAAACATGAATAGGATGCTGGCTGAGGATGTTTTGTAGCTTTGTAAACATTGGAAGCTTGATTTCTGCACATGTTTGGAAAAAGAATGCACTTCTATTTTCAGTATGGTGACAAAGTTCTACCAGCATGCCCTTGCCGTGGCCTTTGCTGTGAAGGAGATCAATGAGGATCCCCAGATCTTGCCTAATGTTACCCTTGGATTCCATATCTACGACAGCTACTATGATGCAAAGATGACTTATCGGACCACCTTGGACCTGCTTTTCAAATCAAGGAGCTTTCTTCTCAACTACAAATGTACTAGACAGAAGAACCTGATAGCCATCATTGGAGGACTTGGTTCTGATACCTCTTTTTACATGGCAGATATCCTTGGTCTCTACAAGATTCCACAGGTAGGGGTTTTGCATTATAAAACATGGAAATTATGTATTTTTTTCTCACGTTAAACTCCTGGTGATTCTAAAAGGAGGAAAGGCTAATTGAAAGTCTAATTAACTGCATCCAGGTTTGGTCAACACACTATAAAAAAGATGTTGAGACTCTAGAAAAAATGCAGAGAAGAGCAACCAGGATGATTAGGGGACTGGAAACTAAAACGTAAGACGAATGGTTGCAGGAAGTGGGCATGGCTAGTCTAGTGAAGAGAAGGACCAGGGGAGACTAGATGACCTATGAAGTTTGTTCCAACTCTGTTAATCTAGCCAAAAAATATTGCTGGAAATTCATTATGCACTAATACTTTAGAAACAGTTCCCAAACTAATGCATGGTTCTCTGTGCGTTGACAAACCAATTCTATGCATTGACAAGTTGTTTCAAAAATGGTAACAAATCAGACATACAAAAATGAAGCTGTCCCCCGGTTTTCAAAATTATAATTATATTTGTAGCTCTCCTATGGTGCCCTGGTCCCTGGGAAGATTGATTCCACTCTAATCCCTTCATTCTATTCCATGGTCTCCAACGAAGCCCAACAGTACTTGGGGATTCTTAAATTGCTCCAACATTTTGGATGGACCTGGATCGGGATCTTCATTCATGACAATGACGATGGACAGAAGTTCCTGCAGACTCTGGAAGCTTTGCTTTTCCAGAATGGCATCTGCACAGCTTACAGACAAAAAATCCCACAGCGCATCCGTTTGGATAACTTTGAGGAAATGATGGAAATAATATTATATATCGTTGTACCTTTAACTTGTCAGAAAACCAAGGTATTCCTCCTCTATGGTGAATCAGTGACGCTGGCCCAGCTGAGGACCATTCTATTCATACAAGACCCCAGAAATAAACTAAAAGATTCATTTATGAAAATATGGGTCATGACAAGTGGCATTGATTTCACACTATCCTTCCTGCAAAGAAGTTGGGACCTGGATTTTTTCCAGGGTGCCATTTCCTTTACATTTCACTCAAGAGATCTTCCAGGGTTCAATAAGTTTCTTGAAGGCATAAAACCATCCAAGACCAAAAGTCAGGGCTTCCTGAAGGAGTTTTGGGAGCGAGCATTTGACTGTACTTTTCCAAATCCTGATATGGAAATAGAGAAGAATGAAACGTGTACTGGAAAAGAGAGATTACAGGACCTCCCCGGGCCTCTATTTGAGATGGGAACCACTGTACATAGCTACAGTATCTATAACGGTGTTTATGCAGCAGCACATGCTTTGAATGCCATGTTGTCATCTCAGTCCCATCAGAGATCCTTCAGGAAGGTGAAAACTGCTGAACCTTTTGAGCTGCAACCCTGGCAGGTAATTGTAAAAACAACGGAACTCTTTTATGCCCATGTTCAGATTGGTTTTTTTCTCTTCAGCTATTTCCATGAGTAGCTCTTTTTTTTTTTCTAAAAGGTTTTTTATTTATAAATACAAACTAAACAAAACAGTAAAACATACAAAACATATAAACATATAAAACATAAATTTACATACATGTCCAGTTTATGGCAACTGTAGTATATAATTTCATTTGCAATTTGACTCCTCCCTGTTTGGTCTATCTTTTCTGTCTATCTTTATAGTTCTTGATTGACCTATATATGTGGTTTACATTCCTCTTTCTATATTTGGTCATTTCCTTTATTTCCTAATCTTTTATCCCTTTCCTATTTTCCAACCAGACATACCACTTTTCCCATACTAAATAATAGTCATGTTCCTCTCTGTTTTGTAGTTCCTTTGTGAGTCTATCTAGTTCTGCACATTCCATGATTTTACTGATTACCCTATCTTCTGTTGGTATATCATTGCTTTTCCAATATTGTACGTATATTATTCGTGCTGCTGTTCTCATGTGTATGATTAAGTATGTTGTTTCTTTTCCATGTTGTCCATGTACTATACCAAGTAGGAAGGTTTCTGGTCTTAATTCTATCTTTTGGTGTGTTATTTCCTCTATTTGTGTTTTAATCATTTGCCAATATTGTTTTGCCATTGGGCAGGTACATATAATAAGTGCCTTCATGATGTTTGCATTTCCAACATGTTGATGGTGTGTTAGGGAACATTCTTGCCAATCTAGCAGGTGGCAAGTGCCACCTCTAAAACATCTTATAAAGATTTTCTTTGTAGGGTACAGACATTGTCAATTTATAATTTATTGTCCACAATTTTTCCCATTTCTCTAAATCAATATTATAGCCAAAAATTTTTGCCCACGTTATCATATTTTCTTTCACTACTCTTCTTCTAATTTGTATCCTCTTAAGTAATTGTAAATTTTTTTGATCAGTTTATCCTGTGTCCCTTGAAAATTTTATCTAATTCAGTTTGACCTTTTTGGAATTCGAATTGAGCCAAATGTTTCTTGTATCTTGATTTTATTTATGCATAGGGCCACCAGTCAATGTTTGTACCTATCTCCTTCAGTTCTTGCCTCGTTCTTAGTTCCCCCAGGTTATTTAGTAGGTCTTTGTAGGTTTTTGTTTTGTTATAGTCCATGGTGTTTGGGTAAATCTGGGCTTCCATTGTTGACAACCATTCCGGAATTTTATTGTAATGTGCCTTTTTAATACTCTGCCATGTTTGATATAGTGCGTGTCTAATTGTATGTCTCTGGAAATATTCATGTCTTTTGTCTGTGCCCTCCCATAGGAAGGCATGCCATCCTCACTGGAGATCGAATCCTTCCAAATTCAATAGTCTTTGGTTTTTGAGTTCCATCCAGTTCTTAATCCAAATTAATACAGATGCCTTATAATATGTTTCCCAATCGGGTAGTGCCAAACCTCCTCTTTCTCTTGTGTCCTGCAAGTGCTTTAATTTAATTCTTGCCTTCTTCCCCTGCCATATATAATCTATTAATTTATTGAAATCCTTGAAAAAAATCTTCCCTGGTTTCATTGGGATCACTTGAAACAAAAATAGTATTCTAGGTAACACATTCATTTTAATTGAGGCAATCCTTCCCAAAAGTGACAGCTGTAATTTTTTCCAAATTTCTAAGTCTTTCTTGATTTGTTTTATTAATTTATCATAATTATCTTCTCTAATCGACGAACTTTTATTTCTCAGCCATATTCCTAAATATTTTACTTTTTTCGTCGTTTGTATGCCCAATTCATCTTCTAATTGCTTTTCTTGTTGATTGGTAAGGTTCTTGGTTAATATCTTTGTTTTCTGTTTATTAATTTTGAGCCCAGCTACTCTCCCGTATTCCTCTATTTTATCTAGTAGTTTGGTGCCAGTTATTATTGGTTGTTCTATAATGAATACAATATCATCAGCGAATGCTTGGAGTTTATATTCTTCCCGTTTAATTTTTAGGCCTTTTATTTCATTGACTCTTCTAATTTCATTTAAAAGGGTTTCCAGGGCTAATATAAATAGTAGGGGAGACAGGGGGCATCCCTGTCTCACCCCTTTCGATATTGGAAATTGTTCTGTCAAATCACCATTAATTGTTATTTTCGCTGTCTGAAAAGAATAGATTCTCTTTATCATATTTATGAATTTATCCCCAAATTTCATAGTTTCCAGTTGTAGAATAAGAAATTTCCAATTGAGATTGTCAAATGCCTTCTGCGCATCTAAAAAAATTAAGGCCGATTGTCTATATTCATTTTGTAGTATTCCAGTATGTCAATTATTAATCTCATATTATTTTTTAACTGTCATTTTGGGATGAAGCCATTTTGATCTGTGTGTATATAATCTTTAATTATTTTTTTAATTCTTTCTGTGATAATTGCTGTAAATAGTTTGTAATCCACATTCAACAAAGATATCGGTCTATAATTTTGAATGTGTGTATGGTCTGCTTCTTCTTTAGATATTAATGTAATGATAGCTTCTGTCCAGGAATTTGGAATTTTGGCTTTCATAATTGCATCATTGAATACTTCAAGCAGGGTTTCATCTATTGAGTGTTGGCAGTTCTTGTAGAACTCCGCTGGTATTCCATCCGGTCCCAGGGTTTTATTTATCTTCTGTTTTTTCCTCGCCTCAATAAGTTCTGTCATTGCAATTGGCCTGTCCAATAAATCTCTGTGTATCTCTTTTAGTTCTTTAATCTCGGCTTCTTTTAAGTATTGTCTGATGTCTTCTTCTGGGGGTTCTCCTTGTTCATATAGTTTTTGGAAGAATGTTCTTGCTATATTCTTTTTGTCCTTATTCCTGTATTGTATCTATCCAGTGTTATCCTGTAGTTGGTGTATGGTCCGTTTTTCTTTTTCTTTCTTCAGTTTGTATGCCAGCCATGATTCTTTTGTTTTGGGGTTCATTCTGTAATTCATGTTCATGCTCCTTGAGTTCTTCTAACAGTTTGTCTCTTTTCTGCTGTTTTTCTTTATTTTTCTTCGCCAGATATGCTATTGTCAGACCTCTTATGTATGCTTTCGCCGTGTCTCACAGATTTTGGAGGGAGGTTTGCTCTTTGCTATTAATCTCGAAAAAAATCTTCATTTCTTTTTCTATCATTTGTATATATTCCTTCTCTTTTAGAATTTCGGTGTTCATCATCCATCTCTTTTTTTTTTCCGATATCCTTTCCAAGTTATTTTAAGTGGACTATGATCTGCCCATATGTTTGTCGATATTTCTATTTCTTCTAGATCTTTCCTGAGGTCTGTTGTCATCCAGGCCATGTCTATCCTAGACCAGGATAGATGTGGATTAGAATAGAACGTGTACTGTTTTCTTTCTTTGTTTATTTCCCTCCATGCGTCCTGTAAGCATAGTTCTTGGGCCATTTCCATAAAAGTATCTGGCAAAGTTTTTTTCCTGGTTTTATTTTTCTTGGTACTCTTATAGTCTTTTTCCTTATCTGAAATCGCATTAAAATCACCTACAAGGCAGATATTTTCATAATCCAAATCTTTTACTTTATTGTGTATATTTTTATAGAAGGCCCATTGGTTTTCATTTGGTGCATAGATTGAGATCAGTAATATTGTTTTTAACTCTGTCTGTATTTCGATCAATAAAACTCTTCCCTCATCGTCTGTATATATCTGCTTTGTTTTTAGGTGCTTCTTAATGTAGACTGCAATACCTCTTTTTTTTTGAGCTGATAGCGAAGTGTAAAGATTTCCTAATCTTGTGTTTTCTAATATTTTTTGATGGCATTTTTAAATATGAACTTCTTGTAAATTAATTATATCCATCTCCATTTTGTATAATTTAGCAAATGTCTGGGTTCTTTTAGTTGGGGCATCAATCCATTTATATTGATCGAAATCATCTTTATTTCCTGTTCCATCTTTCTTCTTATTTATTGGTTGTCTTTTGTTTGCTTGTGTTCCTTGTTATTCGTTGTGTTTTTCCCCGTGCTCCTTCTCTCTCCATTTTTTCTCTTTCCAGTTTCTCCTTCTCCTCGTGTTCATCTTCTGTTCCTTCTATGGATTGTTCTTCTTGGTTCTTATTTTCCGATTCCTCTCTAATTTCTTGTTCTTCTTCCATGCCAAAATATTGGTCGAAAAATTTTTGGGCTCCTTCTAGGTTATCTATCTTCACTTTTTTGTCCTGCCACGAGATCAAAATGCCATCTGGTATTAGCCAACGGAACATCACTTTATGTTTATTTAATTGGGATGTGAGGAAACTGTAGTTTTTCCTCTGGTCTCTCACACATCTCAGGATTTGCTTCAATGTTATTATTTCCTTTCCTTTATGGTACATCGCTTCCTCTCTCATCTTTCTCTATATCTCCTCTTTTATTGTTTGTTTTGTGAAACGAACATGTACCTCTTTTGGGAGCTTGTTCCTACATGCATAATTGGTATGCACCCTGTAAATTTCATCAATATCTCTTCTTATATCATTTTTATCCCTCTGTAGTGCTTCCACAAAAATCTCCCTCATAATCTCTCCCAGGTCTTCTTCTTTGGTTTCTGTTATGTTCTGGAATCTTAAATATAGTGATGCTTTTTCCATTTCCAGAAGTGTGAGTGAATCTTCCATCTCTCGATTGCTTGCCAGCTGTTGATGTTCCAACATTTCTACTTTTTTCATTGTTTGTTCCATTTTAAGTTCTGTTTTTTGGATCCTTTGTTCGTTTTTGGCAATGTTCTGTTGGATCTTTTCTATCTTATCATCCATTTTCTGTATGTTGTCGTTTATCTTTCCCACATCAGATTTCAAATCATCATGGTTTCGTCTTGTCTTTTCATGATTATTAGCAATCGTTTCCTGGGTTTTGCTCATTGTTTCCTGTAACATTGCCAAAGCTAGTTGAATATTTTGCAGGCTAGAAATGGAGGCTGCCTTTTCTTTTTCTGTTCCTAATATCATTTCTATAGATCTCTGTTGGGCAGGGGATGCCGTAATAGAGGCCTGGCTTGGCGTTATTTTTTAAGTTGTTTTAGTTATGGTGGTTATGCTGATGTTTGTCATATTAATTCTTTTTAGTAGGTTTTCCCAAAATCTCATAAAATTAAGTACTCTTCTTGCTTTTCAGTTTTGTTACTTATAATGATATGTTTATCAGTAAGAATATTTAGAGTTTGTGTTATATAAATCTTTCAATATTAATTAAACATATAGTTTCTATAAATATTTTCGACACTTAGCACACTAATAGGCGGTTAAATATGTAAATATATCAATATAACTTATATATTCTAATGAGGAAAGGGAGATATAGAATAGAGGAGGTATGGGGAAAAACTTAGAATTCTAACATTTCATTCAATCTTAATATAAATAATACCGTAAAATAGTCAATTTGTCAAGTTAAATCTATCAATTCAAATATCATTAATGTAGATATATAAATAAGGATTAAATGTTATTACATATTAAATATTACTTAAACTCTATTATTGTTAATTAATTCCTAAACAATCATCAACAATCATATAATTAGGTAAATATAAATTATTCAGAATCACACAGTCATAAAATAGTTAATCAAGCTTTGTACTTACTAGGAAAATTAATCAAGTATGGTTATAAGGTTATTTAACAGTTAGTATACAATTCTTTTCGACTCTTACGTGCAAAAGTTCTTATGGCAAGAGTTTATATTTTTTAGTCTTTAATGTCTCTCGGGCTTCTCGAATCGCCAAAGGTTCACTGTCCCAATTTCGTCTCCTTAATGCAATCTGTTCACTAATAATTGTCAATTAAATAACTTATTAATTCTTCTGTTATTTTCTTAAATCACTGCTTTTCCACTTGCCGTTCTATTGAGCCACTTTCATTTACTCTCTCCGCTTCAATGGCACCACCACTCTCACTTTCACTCTCGCTGTTTCTTCGTCTTCCTGGTATTTCCTATCTGAATACTTTCGTCTGTCACTCTACGATTCTTTATTTAAGTCCAAACGCCTTCCTTCTCTATTCAGTTCAAATCCAAAGTCTGGTCTCACTCGGTAATATAAAGATTTTTTGAAATTTCTCATTCTGAGCAGTCTATCTCCTTTTCGCGCAGTCACGGCCTGTCAGTCTTCTTTCGCCCCTGTTGTCTTTCGTCGCCGCTCTCTGCTTCCTTTGGGGTCTCAAATTCTCCGCTTTCCACTTTCTGGTATACTTTGTTGCTGTGCTTTACTCACTCGTTTTCATCTCGATCAGCTTCTAAATTAAAACTGGATACAGTTGCGATTCTTTGGCTTAATCTTTGCCTCCCTGCTTTGCGGTTTCAAAGCTTCAGGCCAGCCAAAATGGCTGGTTTTTTCCCCTCCGGAATTAGGGGGTTTCTCCTGAACCTTCGGCTGGTTGCTTTCCCCCCAAGGTCCTTGGAGGTTCCTCCTTGTTCTATTGATCACTCCAAGATCAATAGTGCCTAAATCAGGTTCCTGGGTGGGAATCTTGGACATTCAAGAATGGAGCCCTGTTCTCTAGTTCCAGACGTGCTGACGTCACCACCAGAAGTCCTCGATGAGTAGCTCTTAACCACAGACCAGGGGAGTAATCCAGCAGGTTCTGACAGGTTCTGGAGAACCGGTAGCGGAAATTTTAAGTAGTTCGGAAAACCGGCAACTTTTTGAAAGCTCAAAACTTTCCAAAGAGCTGCTGATTCAGTTTTACAGAGGAATTATTGAGTCTGTCATTTGCACCTCTAAAACTGTCTGGTTTGGCTCTGCAACCCAACAAGGCAGAAATAGACTTCAGAGGATAATTAGAACTGCAGAAAAAACAATTACTACCAACCTGTCTTCCATTGAGGACCTGTATACTGCATGAGTCAAAAAGGGGGCTGTGAAAATATTTACAGACCCTTCGCATCCTGGACATAAATTGTTTCAACTTCAACCCTCAAAACAACGCTATAGGGCTCTGCACACCAGAACAACAAGGCAGAAGGACAACTTTTTCCCAAATGCCATCACTCTGCTAAACAACTAATTCCCACAATACTGTCAAATTAACTACTAGGACTGTTTTACTATTCTTCTTCTCCTCATCCTTACTAGGACCTATTTCTTCCCACTAATGGCTATATCCTTGTTGCTTGAATCTTTACAACTTATATTGTCTTTATTGTTTCCTAGTATGATTTGATTACTTATTAGTATCTTATCACTAAGTGTTGTATCTTATGATTCTTGACGAATATATTTTATTTTTTCTTTATGTACACTGAGAGCATATGCACCAAAGACAAATTCCTTGTGTGTCCAATCACACTTGACCAATAAAGAATTCTATTCTATTCTATTCTATTCTATTCTATTCTATTCTATTCTATTCTATTCTATTCTATTCTATCCTATCCTATCCTATCCTATCCTATCCTATCCTATCCTATCCTATCCTATCCTATCCTATTCCTACTCTACTCTACATTCTATTCCCTTCCCTTCCCTTCCCTTCCCTTCCCTTCCACTCCACTCCACTCCACTCCACTCCACACCCCACCCCACCCCACTCCACTCCACTCCACTCCACTCCACTCCACTCCACTCCACTCCACTCCACTCCACTCCACTCCACTCCACTCCATTCCATTCCATTCCATTCCATTCCATTCCATTCTATTCTATTCTATTCTATTCTATTCTATTCTATTCTATTCTAGGTAAGTGATGGAGAAGAAATTAGCCTGAGGCTCATTTGAGGTCTGTGAGGTCATAATATTTCTTAATCAGAATTAATGACGGGAATTAGGGAAGTAGAACTATGTAAGCAGAAATAAAATCTAATGGATATTCATCCCTTTTGTTTTCTTTCTTCTAAATGTTGTAAGCTTTTCTGTTTTTTCCTCTTGGCTTTCCATTAGCTCCATCCCTACCTTCAAAGGGTTTCTTTCAACAATTCTGCTGGTGACACAGTGTCCTTCAATGAGCAAAAGGAAATGAGAGGTGGAATTGACGTTGTGCACATGGTCATTTTTCCAAACAGGTCCTTCGAGAGGGTGAAAATTGGATGGATAGATCCAAATGGACCCCAAGAAGATGAATTTGTCATCAGTGACAATAGGATTTTGTGGCCTAGAGCTTTCAATCAGGTATGTATTCTTGTGGCTTCTTGAGAGAGCCCATGTTCTCCAGATGGATCACCGACATTGATTTCACATCCAATCAGGTCTGGATTTAGCATAGATAACATTGCCATGTTTGAAAGACTTCAGGCAAGTGTTCCTTCACTTCTCCATATCATTCCACTTGCTTCCTTGCCTGTACTTTCTCTTTTCCCCAGTTTCCAGTTTTGGTTTCTCTGTGGCTTTCATACACATCACCCCAAATAATAGGACTGCTTTATCCTTACTACAAAACCTGGACCGTCAGACCAAAATGCCATAAGGCTGAACATCAGTCCCTCTTATTTTCTTTCTAGTGAAATTTCCACCTATCTGTTTTTATTAGCATCTGCAGAATCCTCTCTAAGTTTAAGTTTACTTTATTGTCATTGCACCTCGTACAACAAAATTAAATGCCACCTTCAGTGTACATCATACGCTTATGTACATAAGCTGTTTTTCAGGCTCTAAATCTGACTTGTACTTCAATTAAAGTACAAATGAAAAATGTGATGCTTTGTTTATCCTACAAGCTTGGGACCTAGATTCTTGCAAATACTACTTTTCAAAATATTATGATTTCTGTATACAGGGAGCTCTTGACCTATGACCATATTTGGTACCAGATTTTCCACTGTTAAGCAAAGAAGCTGTTGAGTTGTGTGTGACTGACTTGACAACATTTTTGTTAAGGTTGTAAAGCGAATCACCACACAGTTTGTGAGACTAGACTGAAGCTGCCATACCTAAAGATGAAGCAGGCATGTAAAGAGGCTGGGTAGCCAGCAATGTTGTCTAAAAGATTCCTTCAGGAGATAGATAAGGAGTTAGTAAGTCTTTATGGAGATTCACATGTCATCCATGCAGAAGTTGTGAATGCCCCAACACTGGGAATTTTTAAGAAGATGTTGGATAACCATTTGTCTGAAGTGGTATAGGGTTTCCTCCAAGGTCCCTTCCAACTCTGTTATTCTATTCTATTCTATTCTATTCTATTCTATTCTATTCTATTCTATTCTATTCTATTCTAGTCTAGTCTAGTCTAGTCTAGTCTAGTCTAGTCTATTCTATTCTATTCTATTCTATTCTATTCTATTCTATTCTATTCTATTCTACTCTACTCTACTCTACTCTACTCTACTCTACTCTACTCTACTCTACTCAACTCTATCAAAATGTCTTCAAACAAAAACAAAGTCCAGTTGCTGTCAGGGTTCCAAGTAAAAGCCCAAATGAAATCAAAATTCCATAGCCAGAGACTTCCTCAAAGTGGAGATTTATTAGGCATGTCATATTGGCACAGCTGGTAAAACCCGACTCTGAAGTTCCCGATGTTTTCCCCACCCAGTTCAAAGTCCAAAGTTCTCCCCCCCCATCATACACAACCATCACATTCCCCAATCAGGTCTGTCTCCCCATTCTGGATGTCTCCCATCCATGCCCCTCCACGTGCTGGTGAGACTTGGTTCCCAGAAGAAAGAATGTTATTTTGGCTACATGTTCCCCTCAGTTATCTATACTCCCCCTCCCTTTTCCACAGCTCCATCCAGCCTCACTGTGGCAACCCTGAAGACATTCAGAGATGGCTCCTGCATTGACGGTTGCCTTATGAAGAAGCACATTTTGGCAAATAACTAAGTCATTAAGGAAAAATGTCACCTAAATCAGACAAAAGAAGTTCAGCTAGAGCAGATGGGAACACCCCCTCCCCAAATTCTCATAAATATGAACCAGTTGCCAAGGATCTGAATTTTGATCACATGATTACAGGGATTTGCAAAGGTTGTAAGTGTGAAAAACGGCTGTAAATCACTTTTTTCAATCCTGCTGTAAACTCTGAATGGTCACTAAATTATTTATTTATTTATTTATTTATTTATTTATTTATTTATTTATTTATTTATTTATTATATTTCTATACCGCCTTTCTCCCGTAGGACTCAAGGCGGTGTACAGTCAAGAAAAATATAGATGAACTGTTGTAAGTCAAGGACTACCTGTACATAGCGGTACCTGGATGTTTCATTCTCATTCCAGTTTTTTTTCCTGCTTATATTAGGTCTGTCCCCTTTCAGTGTGTAATGAACAGTGCCATCGTGGAAAACACAAGAAAAAGAAGGAAGGGGAAAAATTTTGTTGCTATGACTGTGTTCCTTGCCCTGAAGGGGAGATTTCAAATAAAACAGGTACATTATCCATTGCTATAACAGTCTCTTGTTTCTCATCTAACAGCAGTAATATAAACTGCTGCATCAGTTAACTAACCAGAACTCTGAAACTGACATCTCTTGAGTACAAAGGCAGCATGATGTCAAGGAGTTCTGTTACTTTCCCACCAAAGTGGTACCTATTTATCTGCTCACATTTGCATGCTTTAAAAATGCTAGGTTAGCATAATATGGGGAAAGGACAGGAGCTCACCCTATCACATGGCATTCTCTTCTCATCCAAGATGTTTCACTTCTCATCCAAGAAGCTGAAGAAGCTTCTTGGATGAGAAGCAAAGCATCTTCAAAGAAAAAACAGAAAGTTCCCCTTGAAAAAGCACGTTTCTACTTATGTGAAATCCAAAGCAGTCCATGTTACATTTGGTGGCTCTTAGTGAAGGTCACCCCGCTGACTTTTTGTCTAAGGTGGGAGTATAACTCAAAATCTTCTGGTTCCTTGCAGAATGTCATAATCATGAGGTCAAATTGACATCTATCTATCTATCTATCTATCTATCTATCTATCTATCTATCTATCCATCCATCCATCCATCCAGTGGTGGGATGCTGCCGGTTGGGATTGGTTCAGGTAAACCAGTAGTTCCGATGATCAGCTGGCCCCACCCACCTGTCCCTGCCCTACCCTGTCTTACATTTCCTTTTTATGGCTCAGCTGATTCACGACACACAGCTGATTTCCACACCTCCACTGTTCTACTTACCAGAACTGCCTTAAAATGTAAACAGCTGAGCTTAAAATTGCTGTATTTTGAATGCTGCGCATACAGAACCGGTTGTTTAAAAAACGGTTGCAGCCCACCACTCTGTCTGTCTGTCTGTCTGTCTGTCTGTCTATCTGTCTGTCTATCTACTGTATCTATCTATCTATCTATCTATCTATCTATCTATCTATCTATCTATCTATCTAAAGATATATATAAAGATACACACACACACACACACACACACAAACTCATGATGTTACAACTCTCCTTGGGAGACAAAGTGCTATACACAAATTAACCAGAAATATTTCTTTCTTCCTTCCTTTCTATCTGTCTTAAAGATATGGAAAAATGCTTCAAATGTCCAGAAGACCAATACCCAACCAAAGGAACAGATGACTGCATCCACAAAGTTGTAACATATCTTTCTTACAAGGAACTTCTAGGGTTTTCTTTGGCCTCCATTTCTATTTCATTGTCTTTGATCACTGCTCTCATATTAGGAATATTTCTTAAGCACAAAGATACCCCTCTGGTCAAAGCCAACAACCGGGACCTCACCTACATTCTCCTTATCTCCCTCCACTTCTGCTTTCTGTGTCCTCTTCTGTTCATTGGTCAACCCAATGAAGTCACTTGCCTTCTCCGACAACCAACCTTTGGCATCATCTTCTCCGTGGCTGTTTCTTGCATCTTGGCCAAAACCCTCACTGTGGTTGTAGCCTTCATGGCTACCAGGCCAGACTCCAACATGAAGAAGTGGGTGGGAAGAAGGATGGCAACTTCCATTGTCCTTTTCTTCTCTCTCATCCAAGTTGGCCTTTGTGCCATCTGGCTAGGATCTTCCCCTCCGTTCCCACAGTTGAACATGCATTCTGTGACCGAGGCCATCATCAATGAATGTAACGAAGGCTCTCCGGTCATGTTCTCCTGTGTCCTAGGCTACATGGGCTTCCTGGCTCTTGCCAGCTTCTTTGTGGCCTTCTGTGCTCGCAGATTACCGGACAGCTTCAATGAAGCCAAATTCATTACCTTTAGCATGCTGGTATTTTGCAGTGTTTGGGTGCTATTTGTTCCAACTTACCTGAGCTCCACAGGAAAAGCCTTGTCGGCTGTGGAGATCTTCTCCATTTTAGCTTCTAGTGCAGGATTACTGGGCTGTATCTTTTTCCCTAAATGCTACATCATTCTGTTGAGACCTGAGATGAATACCAGGGATCAGCTGGTAAGAAGAAAGAACTGAAGAATTCAATTCCTTTACTTTCTGGTAGAATATTGATTAGTATGTTTAAGATTTTGGGATCAAAAATCCATTGTAATGTCATTTATATTTCCTAATATTATTCAAATTCTTTACCAAGATTTATGGTGAAGATAATAAAAATAAAGAATTACAATATTAGATATCTTTCCTTTCTGCTGCAATGTTTATTAGTATGAGTAAGATTGGGGTATTCAAACATCAATTATCATCAATTCTGTTTGCCTAATAATATTTAGCTTCTTTATCAAGAAGGATATACAAAGCATTGAAACATCTCCCCTGAGGCAGTCCAGTCTTATAAAAAGCTTGGCATTCTGACTTCAAGGGGTTCTAAGGCATTTTTCACATGTTTGTGGATTTGCTTTATCAATAACACCAAGGTAAGTCCTGTCTGGACAATCTCAGATGACCTGGGAAGATCTTTCAGCCTTCCTGTGAATATTATTATTATATTATTATAATTTTATTTCTATACCGCCCTTCTCCTTTGGGACTCAGGGCGGTGTACAGCCAAGATAAAACATTGCATATAAAATTTAAAAACAATTTAAAAAACAATTAAATAATTTCGGCCCAATATATTAAAAACAACCCAATTAAAACCAAATTCAATTAAAACTGAGAGGATGGGATCAAGCCAGCCCAGCTAGATGGAATAGGTGTGTTTTCAGGGCCCGACGAAAAGTCCGGAGGTCTGATATCATGCGTATCTCAGGGGGTAGGTCATTCCAGAGGGCGGGTGCTGCCACAGAGAAGGGTCTCCCCCTGGGGGTCGCCAGCCGGCACTGTCTGGCCGACGGCACCCTGAGGAGGCCCTCTCTGTGCGAGCGAACCGGTTGGTGGGAGGCTAGTGGTGGCAGAAGGCAGTCTCGCAGATAACCCGGCCCTAAGCCATGGAGCGCTTTAAAGGTGGTCACCAACACCTTGAAGCACACCCGGAAGACCACAGGAAACCAGTGCAGCTCGCGCAGGAGAGTTGTCATATGTGAGCACCCCGTCGCTCCCATAATCCCCCACGCGGCCGCATTCTGGACTAACTGTAGCCTCTGGGTGCACCCCAAGGGGAGCCCCATGTAGAGAGCATTGCAGTAGTCCAGACAGGAAGTGACGAGTGCTTGAGTGACCGTGCGTAGGGAGTCCCGATCCAGAAAGGGGCGCAACTGGCGTATCAGGCAAACCTGATAAAAAGCCCCCCTGGCCACGGCCATCATGTGCTCTTCTAAAGATAGCCGTGGATCCAGGAGGACGCCTAAGTTGCGAGCCCTCTCCGTGGGGGCCAGTGATTCGCCCCCAATAGCCAGCGAGGGCACCAGCTGGCTATATCGGGACACCGGAAGCCACAGCCACTCGGTTTTGGAAGGGTTGAGTCGGAGCCTGTTTCTCCCCATCCAGGCCCCCACAGCCTCCAGACACTGGGACATCACTTCAAGGGCATCGTTGGGGTGGCCTGGGGTGGAGATGTACAGCTGAGTATCATCAGCGTACTGATGGAACTCCACCCCAAAGCTACGGATGATCCCACCCAGCGGCTTTACATAAATGTTGAACAGAAGGGGCGAGAGGACCGACCCTTGTGGCACCCCACACGCAAGGCGCCTCGGGGTCGACCGCTGCCCCCCTGTCAACACAGATTCTGACTGGTCAGAGAGGTAGGAGGAGAACCACCGCAGAACGGTGCCCCCCACCCCCAACCCCTTCAACCGGTGCAACATGATACCATGGTCGATGGTATCAAAAGCTGCTGAGAGATCTAACAGGACCAGGATAGAGGAGCAAACCCTATCCTGAGCCCTCCAGAGATCATCCACCAATGCGACCAATGCCGTTTCCGTGCTGTACCCAGGTCGGAAGCCGGACTGGAGCGGGTCTAGATAGACAGCTTCATCCAGGTACCGGGGAAGCTGCCGCACCACCACACTCTCAACAACCTTCGCAACAAAGCGAAGGTTGGAGACTGGACGATAGTTAGCCAATACAGCCGGATCCAGAGAAGGCTTCTTGAGGAGGGGCCTCACCACCGCTTCTTTCAAAGCGGCCGGCAGGACCCCCTCACTCAAAGAAGCATTAACAATCCTCTGGAGCCAGCCTCGTGTAACCTCCCGGGAAGCCAGTACCAACCAGGAGGGACATGGGTCCAATAAACATGTGGTCGCGTTCAGCCATCCCAGGATCCTGTCCACGTCCTCGGGAGCCACAGGATCGAACTCCTCCCAGATAACACTCTCAAGACCTGCCTCAGTCATTCCGTCCGGACTTACCCAGTCAGAGGCCAGGCCTTCCCGAATCTGAGCGATCTTGTCATACAGATACTGCACAAAATCCTCAGCTCGACCCTGCAAGGGATTATCCCGCACTTTCAGATGGAGGAGGGAGCGGGTCACCCTAAACAGGGCGGCTGGGCGATTATCTGATGATGCAATAAGAGCAGCAAAATAACTAGATTTCGCCGCTTTTATCGCCACTAGGTAGGTCTTAATATGAGACCTCACCAGTGTTCGGTCGGATTCGGAGCGGCTGGTCCTCCAACTACTCTCCAGGCGTCTTTTCCAGCACTTCAACTCCCTCAGCTCCTCGGAGAACCAAGGAGCTAGGTGAGTTCGGTGCCGGGTCAGAGGCCGCAAAGGCACGACGCGGTCTAAAGCCCCGGCGGCTGCACTATCCCAGGCGGCCACCAGGTCATCAGCCGAGTCGTGAGCCAGAGTCTCAGGAAATGGCCCAAGCTTCATCTGGAACCTATCAGGATCCATCAGGCACCTGGGGCGGAACCACCTGGTCAGCTCCGCCTCCCTGCAGCGGGGTGTAGCGGTTAGAAAGTCCAGTCGAAGGAGCGAGTGGTCAGACCATGACAAGGGTTCGATGACTATATCCCCTGTATCAAGGCCACTCAACCACTGACCAGAGACAAAAACTAAGTCCAGAGTGTGTCCTCCTGTGTGAGTAGGGTCATGAATTAACTGAGTAAGATCCATGGCCATCATGGAAGCAATGAACTCTCGAGCCACCTCAGACGTTTCGCCGACAGATGGCAGGTTGAAATCCCCCATGACTAAAAGTCTGGGGGTACCAACCGCCACCTCAGCTATGATGTTGAGCAGCTCGAGCAGGGCCGTTGCCACACGGCAGGGAGCCAGGTAGGTGATCAACAAGCCCATCTGTACTCCACGACCCCACTTCACAAAAAGGGACTCACATCCGGCTATCTGTGGAACAGTGGTCTCCTTCGGATCAAGACTTTCCTTTATAATAACCGCCACCCCCCCCTGCCCCTGCCCTGAGCTCTTGGCTGATGGAATGCTCGGAAACCTGGTGGGCACATATTCACGAGGGGAACCCCCCCTCATGGCCCAACCAGGTCTCCGTAATACCTGCCAGGTCCGCTCCCCCCTCCTGAATAAGATCGCAAATGAGGGGGGCTTTATTTACCACGGACCTGGCATTGCACAACAGCAGCCAAAGGCTCGGGCCCTGCGAGTCTGAACAGCCTGGGGTGTGAGAAGGGCTATGGGGACCGGGGTGCGCCACAGCTCGAAAATAGAGAGTGCGCGCCCCCACCACATGATGCGGCCCCCTGCTCCCGCCATATCTGCCCCTCCCACTCAACACATTGATAGAGAAGCCCTCGACAGAATGGACAGAATATGGCTGTCTAAGCTTGCTTTACAAAATGCCTCTTCAAATGTTTCTCCTGGTTTTTCTCCAGTTTTTCCTTTTATTGGCATCAACGCATTCTAAGGGTTTTGCTCATTCTCCAGAAGATATTTCTGGTCAAAAAAACTCCACATAATGATGCCCAGATGTCAGATCGCTTTGCTTCAGAGCTCCCCATCCTCTGGGTACCAAATTACCGACAAAGGCAACTATTTTGGCAGAGCAAGGGGTGACAAGATAGCAGTGTTCCAATATCTAAAAGGCTGCCAAGAAAGAAGCGGGGCATCATCCTATATGCCAAAGCACCTGAAGGCAGGACAGGATACAATGAATGGAAACTAATCAAGGAGAGGACCAAGGTAGAACTAAGGAGTGATTTCCTGACAGTTAGAATGATTGATCAATAGAATAACTCATCTCCAAAAATTGTGTTGCTCCAACACTGGAGGTTTTTAAGAAGAGTTTGGACAAACATTTGTCTAGCAGGGTTTTCTGCTTGAGGAGAGGTTTGACTTTTTTTGGCCCATTTTTGGGGCTTTTATGTCCCATTTTCAAGGCTTTTTTTGGCTGTTTTTTGGGGGGGAGGGGCAGAAAAAAGCCCTGAAAACCGACCAAAAAAGGCCCAAAAATGGGGCATGCAGAGGCCAAAAAATGGCCAGCAGGTGGGCAGGGCTTCAGCAATATTCGGTCTATGAGACACACAGACATTTTTGCCCCCTTTTTGGAGACAAAAAAGTGTGTCTTATAGTCCGAAAAATACGGTAATAGTTGTTATAAGGCCCAAAGTAAAGCCATATCGTGAGAAGCAGAAAGCTGAAAGTGGCATAGAAAAACTCCAGAGAAAGTGGTGTACATGCACAAAAGCACACTGAAATCATCTGACATGACAGGCAAGAGCAATGAGTCCCATTTAAGAGTTAATCAGAATAAAGAAAATGATACCCGAGTTGATGTGTGTTAGAGAGTCACTGGTATAGCAATAGCAAAGGCTATTATAGCTTATATGCCACTCCGTAGTGTGTTACATGACTCTAAGGGTGGTTTGCAGTTTCAGCATTTTGCCCCCAACAATCTGAGTCTTCATTTTATCAGCCTTGGAAGGAGGGAAGGATGGGTCAATCTTGAGTCAACCAGGATCAAACTTCTGACTGTGGCCATAGTTAGACTGAAATTCTGCTTTCTTAGCATTGCGTCACCAAGCAATGATTGAACATAAAGGGCTGTCCAAAGGATTTGTTGGAAACCCCTATCCATATACGTAACCTCCTTTCCAACTCCTCTTGAAAGAAGGAGACAACTCACAGCCGCTAGGTGGGTATGGCTGGGTGGTTGCAGTTGGGTCAGCAAAACTAGATGGGCATAGATGGGTGGCATAGCACACTTGCTAACTCAATATGCCACACTACCTTCCAAACTTGAAGGAAGAAAGAAAATACAATTATTAGCAAAAAAAAGTTATTTAGAATTCCAAACCCAGCATTCAAAAAATTATTCTCTGAATTATCTTTCTCCGGATTTAGTCAAATCAATTTTGTTACAGCCAACCTATTGTTCAACTATTTCTCAGGGGAAAATAAGTCTGAACATGTCTATTATGCCTCTGATATTCAAAACTGGGAGGAGGGACCTGATGTAAGTGGGTTTCTGAAGAGTTAATTTTTCAAATCTCTTCCTTTTTAATCTACTGATATCCATCTGAAGTTAGAATGTTAGCAGGCTCAGCTGACACACATCGACTTGCATTTATCTCCTTTTTAAGTGGGAACCAATCTATTTTTTCTCAAAAATGATCATGGTCCCAATGAGAGGCGGATTAAAATGGCAGTTGAAATGAACCAGACTGTACAGATGCCGAAAGCTGAGATTTTCTCTCAGACGATGAAGCAATCTCTGGTTTTGGCTCTGATCTTTAACTTAGTGGGAGATATAGCCGGTCTGAAATGTCACCAGAGTGATCTTATCCCTGTTCCTCATGAGTGGTATGAGCCAGCTGATCTTCTCATTGGTGGGATGGTCTCTCAGTTTATGTATGCATTCAATGAAGATCTATTTGAGGAAATGCCTTCACATGTCTCAGCTGACTTTTCTGAGTAAGTGTTTTTACCTATGGAGATTCTCAGAAATCCAGGTCATAGTTACTGTATTTTGAAGGTTTAATGTATTTTCTTTCAAAAGACAACTGGATTGTTTTTTTTATTATTATTATTTGAAGAGGAAGAGGAAGAAGATGGAAGACTACCAGTGAAGGCTTTCAAAAAGAGACTGGAGGACCATATGTCTGAAATGATTTAGGGTCTCCCAAAGGTGCTTTTTCAAGAGGTATTGTAAATGGACTTTCTGTTCCTTCTTTGAAGATGATTTGCTTCTCAGAGCTGAAGAAGCTTCTTTTGATGAGAAGTGAAAAGTCTTTAAAGAAAAACCAGAAAATCCAATTGCCTCTTGAAAAAGCATCATTGGGACAACCATGACCCTGATGACTGAAAATCTCCGCAGACAGATATAGGATCTCCTACTCAAGCAGGAGGTTGGAGTGGAAGACCTATGAGGTTCCTTCCAACTCTATTATTCTATGTCCTAAGATATTTTGCTTCTTCTGCAAGAAGCTTCATCAATTATAATGCTATATTTTATGTAACAGAACTTTCTATTCAACCTTTCCTTATCTTCTTGCAAAAATAACAGTTGTGTTTTTGTCCTTGTGGCCCCTGTGCTCCATCCCTTCTTCATTTTTTTTCCTTTAATGGCTTCTATGCTAAACTTCTAAATTTATTGATCAATTGATTGAATATATACAACAACCCCTCTTACCAAATAATTCTGAATAGTGAACTATGTTTTTTCTTTTTTAAAAAAGAAATACAATTACAATTAAAAATTCAATTCAATTAAAAAATTAATATTTCTTATAGTGTTGCATTTAACTGATTTCAATCTCTCAAGTTTTTTATTGCAAATCACAGTTTAAAAACTAGGTGGACTTATGTAATTGAGTTTAGAAAAAACTTCAAGTAAAAGAGTGTTTTTGCAAACATGAATAGGATGCTGGCTGAGGTTGCTTTGTAGCTTTGTAAACATTGGAAGCTTGATTTCTGCACCTGTTTGGAAAAGAATGCACTTCTATTTTCAGTATGGTGACAAAGTTCTACCAGCATGCCCTTGCCGTGGCCTTTGCTGTGAAGGAGATCAATGAGGATCCCCAGATCTTGCCTAATGTTACCCTTGGATTCCATATCTACGACAGCTACTATGATGCAAAGATGACTTATCGGACCACCTTGGACCTCCTCTTCAAATCAAGGAGCTTTCTTCTCAACTACAAATGTACTAGACAGAAGAACCTGATAGCCATCATTGGAGGACTTGGTTCTGATACCTCTTTTTACATGGCAGATATCCTTGGTCTCTACAAGATTCCACAGGTAGGGGTTTTGCAGTATAAAACATGGAAATTACGTATTTTTTTTCTCATGTTAAACTCCTGGTGATTCCAAAAGGAGGAAAGGCTAATTGAAAGGCTAATTAACTGCATCCAGGTTTGGTCAACACACTATAAAAAAGATGTTGAGACTCTAGAAAAAGTGCAGAGGAGAGCAACCAGGATGATTAGGGGACTGGAGACTAAAACATATGATAAACGGTTGCAGGAACTGGGCATGGCTAGTCTAGTGAAGAGAAGGACCAGGGGAGACATGATAGCAGTCTTCCAATATTTGAGGGGCTGCCACAGAGAGGAGGGGCTCAAATTATTTTCCAAAGCACCTGAAGGCCAAACAAAGAATAATGGATGGAAACTGACCAAGGAGAGATTCAACAGAAGTTGCCTTTGGAAGTTGTGGGAGCTTCATCACTTCAGACTTTCAAGAAAAGATTGGACTGCCAATTGTCAGAAATTGTGTAGGGTCTCCTGCTTGAGCTGGGGGTTGGACTATGAAGTCCCTTCCAATTCTGTTAATCTGACCGAAAAATATTGCTGGAAATGCATTATGCATTAATACTTTAGAAACAGTTCCCAAACTAATACATGGTTTTCTATGCACTGACAAAAAATGGTAGCAAAATCAGAGGTACAGAGATGAAGCTGTCTGCTGGCTTTAAAAATCATAATTATATTTGTAGCTCACCTATGGTGCCCTGGTCCCTGGGAAGATTGATTCCACTCTGGTCCCTTCATTCTATTCCATGGTCTCCAACGAAGCCCAACAATACTTGGGGATTCTTAAATTGCTTCAACATTTTGGATGGACCTGGATCGGGATCTTCATTCATGACAATGACAATGGACAGAAATTCCTGCAGACTCTGGAAGCTTTGCTTTTCCAGAATGGCATCTGCACAGCTTACAGACAAAAAATCCCACAGCGCATACATTTGGATAACTATAAGGAAATGATGGAAATAACATCATATATCGTTGTACCTTTAACTGATCAGAAAACCAAGGTGTTCCTCATCTATGGAGAATCAGTGACGCTGGCCCAGCTGAGGACAATTCTATTCGTACTAGATCTCCGAAATAAATTAAAAGATTCACCTGTGAAAGTATGGGTCATAACAAGTGGCATTGATTTCACACTCTCCTTCCTGCAAAGAAGTTGGGACCTGAACGTTTTCCAGGGTGCCATTTCTTTTTCACTTCACTCAAGAGAACTTCTGGGGTTCAGTAAGTTTCTTGAGGGCATAAAACCATCCAAGACCAAACATCAGGGCTTCCTGAAGGAGTTTTGGGAACGAGCATTTGACTGTACTTTTCCAGATCCTGGTATGGAAATAGAGAAGAATGAAATGTGTACTGGAAAAGAGAGATTACAGGACCTCCCTGGGCCTCTCTTTGAAATGGGAACCACTGTACATAGCTACAGTATCTATAACGGTGTTTATGCCACAGCACATGCTTTGAATGCCATGTTGTCCTCTCAGCTCCATCAGAGATCCTTCAGGAAGGTTCAAACTGCTGAACTTTTTGAGCTGCAACCTTGGCAGGTAATTGTAAAAACAATGGAACACTTTTAAAAAAAATATTAAACATTTAAAAAACAAAAACAAAAAGAAAGCTTTAACAATTTTTCCTTTTCAACAGTTTTGCATCAGTAAAAAATTCTTACTCATACATTTTTTCTCCCTTATTCTAATGTATCTGTCATGTGTAAATGCCTCATTCTTGAATGAAAGAAATATATATATCCAGGAGTGTCAATAGTTAACTCATTCTCCTTCTTCTAATGTATTCCTCACTAACCACTAACCACTTTTAACCCCGCCTTCTTGGTATAAAAGATGATGCACACTCATTCCCCTTGCTTCTTTCTGCAATCACTCTGTGAATAAAGAATGCCTTCTGTAAATAAATTATCTTCTGTTTGAATATAAGAAGTCTGAGCTTATTATTGAGTCTGATCTTCGAATTACGGCAACAATCTGGTAGCAGAGGATGGTTGGACTGACTCAATAAGAAACAGATCAAGAAATAATCAACGAGGACTTCCGGTTTGCTGCTGGCCGCCGCTAGACGCTCCTTTGGGATCGTCAGCTTCCTTTGCCTGTCAGAGCCGCCTTCACAGCGGAATGGCGGCTCGAAAAAACTCCGTTTCCATGAGGAAACGGAGATAGAGCCGGCAGGGGTGGGTAGAACTCTGTGCAGAGTCCCAAAAGTTTTTTTTTTACTTTTGGGACGGAGCGGATGAGATGCCCCATATCCCCAGCCGCTGCTCCGGGCTTTGGGAGACCTCTGCCAATGCAGAGCCAGGCGTGAAGAGCAAGCCTGCGAATTTAACAGATTACTAAAAGAAAATGTGAGCTGGACCTGTAATATTGAAACGCAAGTATTTTACTTATCTTCTAAAAAAATTATTTAAGAGAAAACAGGAAAGGAAAGGGGGAGAAAAAAAGCCTTTTAAAATGGCGTCTGCCACGGCTGGAGAAGAGGCTGAAAGGAAAAGTCCTTCCGTTTTCTATTAATACAATATAGCGGAATAAACACCACTGGCTACATTTGTAGACAAAACTTCGCTCCTGTGTCTTTTTCTCTCTTTTTTTTCCCTGGAGACTTGATATTGTTATTGATTGGAAAGAAGTCTTTTTTTTTTTAACAAAGCTTGCCTGGGCGGAAATATGGCACTGAAACTTATAAAGTCAAACAAACAAGTAGTGGGGGGGGATTCCCCCACTAACGACTTAAAAGAACAAGTTTTAACTCTTCAATCTCAGAAACCTGATTTTAATATAATAGAATTTCTTTTAGAGGAGATTGTAAGAAGGGATGAGATTGTGAATCAGCATCTTGAAAAATTTAAGCAGGAAATTAAAGAATTGGTGAAATCTAAGTTTGATTTTTTGGAGCAAAAATTTTTTAAAGTGGCTAATGGTTTGTCAGAATTTATGATACAGTTGGCTACAAATACTAATTTACTAGAGTCTAAAATGGAAGAAATTCAAGATAAATTGGACAATAGAACTCAAAAAATTGAAAATGATTTGATAAACATTCAGGATAATAGCTCAGAAGAAAAACCTAAAATGGAGGCTGATCAAAAGTCTGGTAATGTAGAAAATCTGCAACAGAGGATTGAAAGAGAGGTTTTAATGGTACAATATAATTTCACAGAATGTGCGATAAGACTGAGAGGTTTGCAGGAAGATAACAGAGATGATTTAAGGAAAATATCTTCTGAATTTCTAGTTGGGATTTTAAAGGTTCAACCCGAGGAAGTGTTTTGTAGGATTGACAGAGTTTACAGAATAAATTCCTGGATTGCCAAGCAAAGGCAATTGCCTAGAGATGTAGTGATTTATTTTACAGACAAGGAAATTAGGAATAATATTGTGCAAAATTCCTTCAATTCTAATTTGCAACTGCATGGAAGAAAGATTTGGATTTACAAAGAACTCCCACCTAAGATATTAATGGAAAGGAAGAAATTTGCTTTTCTGGTGACTGAGTTAAAAAAGAGAAATATCCTATTCAGGTGGGACGCTCCAGTTGGTATCATATTGAGATATCAAGGAGAAAGATACCAGTTAAATACTGTTGAAAGAGCGGAAGAATTTTATCAAAACAGATTGAAAATGAACTTAACGTCTTCAGGTATAATACAGGATAAGCAGAAGGAGTTGGAAATAAAGGGAAAATACCGAGCTACAGAGACTGTACCAGATAAACTGCCTTTGGATTTTTCGGATACCCCAGCTGGATTATTTACAAATCGGAGAGAAGTGGCATCTGACTTTAATGTGATGACCTATCAAGTCAAGGACAAGCACGGAAACCAATTAGGGGATATACAAGGGGCAAAAAAGAAAGATGAGACACAAAAACAAAACCAACAAGATCAATCTACAGAGCAGAATCAAAACCGACTAGTTGATACACAATCCGTAGAAAGGAAACCAGGATGGAAATCAAACCCGCAAAAAGAAAAGAAAAAAAGAAATAGGTTGCATAAAAATAGAAATTTCTAAATCAAGCAACAGTGAAGCCAGTGACTTTAAAAATGAATGAGTATGTGAAAATATAGAGGAGGCGACGTATTGGTCAATATTATCCTGAGGATGGTGACAGGCCTCTGCATTGCCGTAATTTTGGGATGTGAAAAGAGCCTCAAACTGATGGATTTTAATTATCTACTTTGGAATTCCTTTTTGTGCTGATAACTATATTATAATTATCTTGAATTATAAGGCAAAAGAGTCATACTGGGGCATGCAGAAGATCTGGTTGTTACCCACTACGATGATGGGAATTAATAATCCTGATGAAAGCCACAATTATTACTACATGGAATATAACTATAATGTCACTCGGGTGGTTGTTTTTACTTTCATATATATAAGAGGATATTTACTACTGATGGGGGTAGATATGACTGAAGATTTTGAATATACTGTTGCATCAGCAAGCTATGTTACCCTATTATGGATGATGGTTTTAATAATCCAGTGGAAAGACTTTAAAGAAGATATCATATGGATTATAAATTTAAAGTTATTGTCTTTTCTTTTTTACTTAGATATAATGGAATATATATACATATACTTTTAAGTAGAGTGGGCAATGAATTAAAGACATTAAGAATTGTTGTGTATGATAATTTTGCAGGACAGTGGGTGAATAAGCTAGTTCAGACTGATTAGTTTAAGAAAAGGGATTTTTAAGTGATATGTTTAGGGGAGTGGAGGGAATGGATAGAGTGGAATAAATGTTAAATTAGGTTTTACGGGGAGGGCCACTTTGAAATGCTATAGTAATATATATAGATCAAATGTTAAAGTAGGATTTATTGTATAGTTTTAAAGTGGAAGGTGGTTTTGAATTGTTGTAATAATATATAGATACAAGCTTGGGAGAGGAGAAAAAGGGTAGATTATTGCCATATTGGGAGTTATAATACTATTTTGCTAAATTAGAAGTTACTATACAATGTTATAGTATAATGTCTTTTTTTTTTATTCCTTTCTTGAAATGTATTGATAAAGGGGATGTTATAATATTAATAATATTTTTAGTAAGTAAAGGTCAGTATTTAGAGGAGGGGGTAAGTAATCTGTTATGAATTAGGTTTTTTGTTATGAAGAAGTCACAGGGGGGGACGGGGGGAGGGGGGGTTAGGGAGGGGGAGGGGGAAAAAAGGGGGAAAAATTTTGTATTTGAAAACTTTTTCAATAAAAAAAAAAAGAAATAATCAACGAAACTACAATAAAAATGACAAAAGAATCTGAAAACCTCACTACAGACGACGAAGAGGTAATCGATGAATCCAGCTACCAAGAAGCGAGCAAGACAGAAAACAACACACTCAGATTACAAATACTAAGACTACTGAAAAGCCAAAAGGACGACAAAAATCTCATCGCGAACCTCCAAGACATCATAAAAGATAGCGGAGCAGTGAGAGAAAACTACATCAACACATCAGAACCAAAAGACCACGAAATGGTAAGCAAATTACCCATAGATGAAAATATAACTAAAGAAAAGACTAGCGATCCCGCGCAAAATTTTGAATGGCAGCCATCTTGGATTTGTCAGCCCGCCAAAATGACTGACCCAGAACCAATCAGAAAGCAGAGTTCAAAATGGCTGGTGCGAAAAACTCTATACAGCAAAAGAAATAAAGAAAAATTCTACTCATCAGAAGAATCTGATACACCAAAGAAACATCAACTGAACTACAAATCGAAACAGCTATGAAAACACTCTTTGCAGCCTTCGGCCCGAATTTAAAAATCTCAAAGGAATCAACGAAAGTACCAAAGACAGTCGATCAAATAATAAAGAAAAGACAAAATGCACAATCCAAAAATGAAGATACAGAAACGAACACACAAGCGTCCCAGCATCTATTAAAATCCACTCCGATCTGACCGACGAGAACACTAACGCCCGAACCCAGGGGATCTTGCAAGTACTCGCCCACACCGCAGACACTTCCGGGAGCCAGAAACCTCAGCCGAGATGACTACAATGAAAAGAAACAAACCCCGATTCACACCTGGACACCTAAAGTCGAGCCAGAAAGCGAATTTTCAGAGGAAGAGCACTGCAAGGGAGCTGCAGCGGCGAGACCCTTCCCCGACGGCTTCAGGAACAAAATGATCTACGCGCATGCACAAATACGTCCAGACGAACTTAGAGACAATAAAAGACAGAAGGAACCATTCAGGTTAGTCGTGAGCATCCCTACACCATTCTGCAATTATCAGCATATACAGGACCATGGACAGCCACCAGCTGTAAGTAATGCAACAAATAACATTGGAAATTTGCCTAATGATTTTCCCAAATTGAGAATAGATGGTGTTAACTTACAGGAATGGAGTCAGCAACTCCAGGTTGTTTTCTTAAAAGAAAATTTATTGTTTTTCATAACTAACCCTCCTAAAAAACCATGGACACTAAAATTGGACTGTCTACATCACAGAGCATTTTATTTACTAATCTCTAGTATCTCACCTGCTATTTATCATAGTATTAAGCATAACTTAACTGTTTCAGAAATAATTCATTGTATGTTTAAACTGTTTCATAGTGAAAGTGTGGCAACCACAACTAGAATGTCTAAAAACTTTTTCTCAGCCAGGATAAAACCTGGGACTACCATAAGTGAACATCTACTATTACTAAACACAACTAGAGCAGAACTACATTTAAGGGGAGAAATAATATCTGACCAGACAATGAAAAGCGTTATTTTAAATTCTTTAGACTCATCATGGGACAACTTCATATCACATCTAGATACAATTAACTTAGGCTATCTATCTATAGAGAGTTTATCTAACAGATTAATTGCTGAAGATAATTTGAGAAAAAGTCGCTACAATATCCATAAAGAGCATAGACAGATCAAAAGGGTAGTATTCCAAGACAGGTATCAGGACACAATAGAGTGTTATAACTGTGGGTCTAAAGAACATTATAGAAGAGACTGTCCAAAACCTCCTAGAGAGAGACAAAGATATGACACAAGAAACAGATATCATGATAGACAATCATCCATTGACAGATATAGGCACAGAAATTCGCCAAACTTTAGAGAACATAGAGGGGGGCAGAGACAACTCAAGAGACAGGAAGTCCGGATCACTATACGGAATAGATAAACACACAAAAATCAAAAATCAAGACTCAAACGACAGTGCTTGGCTCATTGATTCCGGAGCAACAAATCACACAACACATGATAAGAAAATATTATCTTCCTTTGTCGAAAATAAATTTTTAATTAAGGTAGCAAATCAAGAGGAAGTCCAAGTTGTTGGAAGAGGAAATGTAGAATTACCCGGTCTAGGGAAAATAGAGGGGGTACTATTAATACCCAAAATACCTCACAACATTCTCAGTGCAATAAAGTTAAGCAGGGACTCTAACATAAATATAATATTCTCAAAGGGAAAGGTAACACTAGAGAAAAACAAAATGAACATAGGTAATATAATTATCAAAGGAGACCTACCATACTTAATTACAGAAGAAAAATGGTTACACAACATAAATTCAAGCATAGAATCTAACACTAACGCAGAAACAGAAAATGATATAGATAGTGACAATGAAGAACATGAAACAGAACATGATGATGAAACCGCATCTGTCAACAATACACACACAAACAGAAAACCCATAATTGGAAAGCCAATTCATGATGAATGTGCACACATACTACATAGAAAATTAGGGCACGCCAGTTTTCCTGTAATACAAAAAATGAGTGAACACGCTGAAGGTGTCAGAATAAAAGACTGTAAAAATTACCTGGAATGTTCAGTATGTAAATCTTCAAAACTGAAAACTAAGGCCAGACCCAAAAAGCCAACAAGGTCATCAAATCATATTTTTAATCTAGTGCATATGGATCTAGTTGGTCCATTAACTCCATCAATTACATACAAAAAACGATATTTTCTCACTATTGTAGACGACTTCAGTCGTTATGGCTTTGTCTACACCTTAAGACATAAAGATGAAGCATTTCAAAAATTTAAAGAGTTTCATAAACATGTAGAGACACAACATCATATACAAATCAAACAAATCATGACAGACAGAGGATCTGAATTCATGTCAAGAGAATTCTCTCATTGGCTAAAATCAAAGGGGATGTTGCATTTCACCTCTAGTCCTTTCTCTGCTTTTCAAAATGGAGTAGTAGAACGATGAAACTCGACACTACAAATTATGATTAGATGTACATTAGAGGATGCAGAGTTAGGTAAGCATTTCTGGTCAGAAGCCCTGTTATATTCCAATTATACACTCAACCGACTTTGGTCTAGCGTCATAAACAAAACGCCATATGAATTGATGTATAATAAAAAACCTCAGATAGCCCACATGCATGTGTTTGGAGTTACAGCAGATGTACATATACCGAAACAATTAAGGCATAAGGGGGATAATGTGTCCAGAAGGCTTAGATTCATGGGTTATGAGACAGGTACGAAAGGATATAGATTTATTGACAGTAACAACAAATTCATAATCTCTAGAACCGCTGTATTTCATGAACAAACCAATTGGTCTAAAATACATCTCAATGAAATACTTCCAATAACAAGGCCCAATATCAAAACACAAGGCAAAACAAAACAAGAAAAACAAACTTGTAACACACAAAAGGACAATACCAAAATGTGGATAGGAAATTGTCCCAAAATCAAAATAGATTCATTAACACAAAAGGAGGCAAGATACTTACATGATAATAATGATAGACCAGAAAGAACAATTAGATGTAACAGAAATCAAGTACCTGAACGATTTAAAGACTATATAATGCACATACATAATGAAACACCAACACCAAACACTTATGAAGACGTATTGAAACTCCCTTTAGAAGAAAGAAACAGATGGGAACTAGCCATGGCCAAAGAAATGGACAGCTTACGAGAACTTAACGTATTCACTCCAGCACCAGTCCCAAAGGATAAAACAGTTATAGGCACTAGATGGATATTTAAGATTAAAAATTTAGAAGAGGGTAACACACTATATAAAGCACGATTAGTAGTACAGGGCTTTGCTCAGAGATACCCTGAAGATTATACCGACACTTATTCTCCCACAGTGAGAACTGAAAGTGTTAAGACAGCTTTAGTGATAGCCTCAGCTCTTAATCTTGAAGTTTTTCAATATGATATACAAACTGCATATCTACATGCCAAACTTGATAAAGAAATTTATGTAAGAGCTCCACACAGCAAAAACACAAATAGAAATGACACATGGTTACTGAATAAAAGTTTGTATGGATTAAAGCAATCCGGCAAACGTTGGTATGAATGCTTGGTCAATGTACTCAAGATCATGAACTTCAATGCCACAACGGCGGATAATTGTTTTTTCATTAGAAGAGAAGGTGAATCATTAGAATTTGTATTAATTTATGTGGATGACATTTTGTATATTGGCAAAGATAAAGACAAGAGAGATATTTTTGTAACAAAACTAGGAGAACATTTCTCACTAAAGTCATTGGGGAAACTAAACAAATACCTTGGAGTACACATCAATAAGACCAAAAGAGGATTTAGCTTATCACAAAAGGATAAAATAATTGAGCTCTTGAACAAATGTAATATGAATAATGCAAAACCTTGTGACACTCCAATGCAGATTGATTTCATAAAAAACATGAATGAATCATCTCCTGAATTTAATGACAATATGCTTTATAGATCAGTTATCGGTTCTCTTTTGTATATTGCTAATTGGACCAGACCTGATATTGCTCTACCCCTTAATTTGTTGTCTAGATATGTCAGTAAACCTCTAATTTACCACTGGGAAGCAGTTAAGAGAGTATTGAGATATTTGAAACACAGTTTAGATTTCTGTCTATTATTAGAACCAAACAATGTTAAAGAGCCTATCCTCACTTGCTACGCTGACGCTGACTGGGCAGGTGACACTAAGAGTAGGAAGAGCACTTCCGGTTATGTATTCTTCCTCAACGACTGCCCAGTCTACTGGTATACTGGAAAACAGAATTTGGTAGCCACTTCAACCACTGAAGCAGAGTATATTTGTCTGTCAAAAGCAGCTAACAATCTCATCTGGTTCAATGACTTATTGACTAATGTTTGGAAGAGCCCATCACAACCCATCACAATATATGAAGATAATAAAGCCGCAATAGAGATATCAAGAGCAGACGCTATTGGCCAAAGATCTAGACATATAGATATCAAATACAAACATCTAAGACAATTATCTGAAAATGGGTTCATCAAAGCTATTCATTGTGACACTACAGAACAAATAGCTGATATATTGACTAAACCTTTACAATCCAAACAACATAAATATTTAACCACTAAATTATGTATTCAATATTATTCTAATTCTGAATGTAATCATTGCTGTGTATCAAATTGGCATTTAGAGGGGGATTTGTCATGTGTAAATGCCTCATTCTTGAATGAAAGAAATATATATATCCAGGAGTGTCAATAGTTAACTCATTCTCCTTCTTCTAATGTATTCCTCACTAACCACTAACCACTTTTAACCCCGCCTCCTTGGTATAAAAGATGATGCACACTCATTCCCCTTGCTTCTTTCTGCAATCACTCTGTGAATAAAGAATGCCTTCTGTAAATAAATTATCTTCTGTTTGAATATAAGAAGTCTGAGCTTATTATTGAGTCTGATCCTCGAATTACGGCAACAGTATCTTTTGTACATATTCTTCTAATATTAATTAATTTATTTACATATATACATATAAATACCCATGTGCACAATTTCATTTCTACAGTTTTTGTTTCCTCATATTTGTTATTGTACTTCTACTCCTATTTCAACCATTATTTGATTTTTCCTTGCCTTTTATCTCTCTCCTCCAACCATTCATACTATTTCTCCCACACTACATAATATTCTGTTTCCTCTTTTCCTTGTATCTCCTTTGTAAATTTATCTATTTCCGCACATTCCAAAACTTTTTTGATCAAATTATCTTCGGTTAGTACATTACTGTTTTTCCAATTCTGGGTGTAGATTATTCTTGCATTGTTTTCAATTCCCCTTGACTATTTAACAAATCTTTATATCTTTTCATTTTGTCAATGTCTAATGCATTTGGGTAAATTTGTGCCTCCATTGTGGATAACCATTCTGGAATTTTATCATAGTGATTCTTTTTTATCCCTTGCCCTGTTTGTAGTAGTGCCTCTGATTAAATGTCGTTGAAAATAGTAATGTTGTCTATTTTTTCCCTCCCATAAAAATGAATGCCACCCTCTCTGTAAATCGTATCTCTCTAATGTTAACATTCTTTTGTTTCGTAATTCCATCCTGTCCTTGATCCATATAAGTGAAGTTGCTTTATAGTAAATTTCCCAATCTGTGAGTCCAAATCCTCCTCTTTCTCTACTATCTTGCAGTGATTATATTTTGATTTTGGTTTTTTTTCCCCTGCCAAATATAGTTCGCTATTAATTTATTTAAGTCTTTAAAAAAGTTTTTTCCTAATTTTATGGGTACTACTTGGAATAAGAATAGTATTCGTGGTAACACATTCATTTTAATCGATGCTTCCTCATACCATGCTAGAACAATTTCTTCAAAGTTTGGGTCTCCAAATTGCATTATTTTTGACAGAAAACGTGGCCCCGACATTATAAAAAAATATATACGTTATATTTTCTATATAGCACCATCTCTGTGATTGTGATTGTGTTTCCTAGGATTTGAAACTTTAGATTGAAAGAGAAATGAGGATCTTTTTTTTTTTTTTTAAAGAAGAGACTGGAAAACCAATTGTCTGAAATGATATAGGATCTTCTCCTTGAGCGGGTGTTGGACTAGAAGACTTCCAATGTCCCTTCCAGCTCTATTCTGAATTGAAATTGAAATCCTACTGGCTGAACTATGAAACAATGAAAGGAATTGCACATTTTTCTTAGCCATTGCATATGAAGAAGGGAACATGATCAAGACTCATTCCATATTGGGTTCTACCCCTTTAAAATCTGAAATGATACTTTCCATGATTATTTGAAAGTTTGGTCAACTCAGACAGCTCAAACTGCCCAAGGAGCTGCTGATCCAGTTCTACAGAGGAATTATTGAGTCTGTTATCTGCACCTCTAGAACTGTCTGGTTTGGCTCTGAAACCCAACAAGACAGACACAGACTTCAGAGGATAATTAGAACTGCAGAAAAAACAATGGCTACCAACCTGTCTTCCATTGAGGACCTGTATACTGCACGAGTCAAAAAGAGGGCTGTGAAAATATCCACAGACCCCTGGACATAAATTGTTTCAACTTCTACCCTCAAAACAACACACACCAGAACAACAGCGCACAAGGACAGCTTTTTCCAGAATGCCATCACTCTGCTAAACAACTAATTCCCACAATACTGTCAAATTAACTACTTGGTATTACTATTCTTCTTCTTCTCGTCCTTACTAGGACCTATTTCTTCCCACTTATGGCTATATCTTATATCTTTACAACTTATATTGTTTTTATTGTTTCCTAGTATGATTTGATTACTTATTAGTATCCTATGACTATCACTAAGTGTGGTATCTTATGATACTTGATGAATATATTTTATTTTTTCTTTATGTACACTGAAAGCATATGCACCAAAGACAAATTCCTTGTGTGTCCAATCACACTTGGCCAATAAAGAATTCTCTTCTCTTCTCTTCTCTTCTCTTCTCTTCTCTTCTCTTCTCTTCTCTTCTCTTCTCTTCTCTTTTTTTCTCTTCTCTTCTCTTCTCTTCTCTTCTCTTCTCTTTTTTCTCTTCTCTTCTCTTCTCTTTTTTCTCTTCTCTTCTCTTCTCTTCTCTTCTCTTCTCTTCTCTTCTCTTCTCTCCTCTCCTCAGATCTGCTCTGCTCTGCTCTGCTCTGCTCTGCTCTGCTCTGCTCTGCTCTGCTCTGCTCTGCTCTATTCTACGTAAGTGATGGAGAAAAATTAGCCTGAGGCTCATATGAAGTCTGTGAGGTCAAAATATTCCTTGATCAAAATTAATTACTGGAATTAGGGAAGTAGAACTATGTCACCCTAACTGCAAGCAGAAATGAAATCTAATGAATATTCATCCCTTTTGTTTTCTTTCTTCTAAATGTTGTAAGCTTTTCTATTTTTTTCCTCTTGGCTTTCCATTAGCTCCACCCCTACCTTCAAAGGGTTTCTTTCAACAATTCTGCTGGTGACACAGTGTCCTTCAATGAGCAAAAGGAAATGAGAGGTGGATTTGATGTTGTGCACATGGTCATTTTTCCAAACAGGTCCTTCGAGAGGGTTAATATGGGATGGATCAATCCAAATGGACCCCCAGAAGATGAATTTGTCATCAATGACAATATGATTTTGTGGCCTAGAGCTTTCAATCAGGTATGTATTCTTGTGGCTTCTTGAGAGTGCCCATGTTCTCCAGATAGTTCACCGACATTGATTTCATATCAGATCAGGTCTGGATTTAGCATAGATAACAATGCCATGTTTGAAGGACCTCAGGCAAGTGTTCCTTCACTTCTCCATATCATTCCACTTTGTTGTTGTACAACAAAATTAAATGCCACCTTCAGTGTACATCATACACTGTTGTACACAACAACAACAACAACAATAACAATCACAATCTTCACATTCTACAAAATTGAATTGAAAACCCCTGATACTGCATTAGTATTGCACTATACAGTAGAATTCAACTTAGTTACTGCTCTGGGATACAAGCTCTTCAGGCTCTAAATCTGACTTGTACTTCAATTAAAGTACAAATGAAAAATGTGATGCTTTGTTTATCCTACAAGCTTGGGACCTAGATTCTTGCAAATACTACTGTTCAAAATATTGTGATTTCTGTATACAGGTAGCTCTTGACTTATGACCATATTTGGTACCAGATTTTCCACTGTTAAGTGAAGCAGCTGTTGAGTTGTGTGTGACTGACTTGACAACATTTTTGTTAAGGTTGTAAAGTGAATCACCACACAGTTTGTGAGACTAGACTGAAGCTGCCATACCTAAAGATGAAACAGGCATGTAAAGAATCTGGGTAGCCAGGAATGTTGTCTAAAAGATTCCTTCAGGAGATAGATAAGGAGTTACTAAGTCTTTATGGAGATTCACATGTCATCCATGCAGAAGTTGTGAATGCCCCAACACTGGGAATTTTTAAGAAGATGTTGGATAACCATTTGTCTGAAGTGGTGTAGGGTTTCCTCCAAGGTCCCTTCCAACTCTGTTATTCTATTCTATTCTATTCTATTCTATTCTATTCTATTCTATTCTATTCTATTCTATTCTATTCTATTCTATTCTATTCTATTCTATTCTATTCTAATCTATTCTATTCTATTCCATTCCATTCCATTCCATTCCATTCCACTCCACTCCACTCCACTCCACTCCACTCCACTCTACTCTACTCTACTCTACTCTACTCTATCCTTCCATCCAGGATATGGTTGTCCCAAAGGTGCTTTTTCAAAAGGCAGATGTTTTGCTTCTCCTCCAAGAAACATCTTCAATTCTAACTGAAGATGAAAAGAAGCTTCTTGAATGAGAATCAAAATGTCTTCAAACAAAAACAAAGTCCAGTTGCTGTCAGGGTTCCAAATAAAAGCCCAAATGAAATCAAAATTCCATAGCCAGAGGTTTCCTCAAAGTGGAGATTTATTAGGCATGTCATATTGGCACAGCTGGTAAAACCCGACTCTGAAGTTCCCGATGTTTTCCCCACCCAGTTCAAAGTCCAAAGTTCTCCCCCCACCCCCAATCATACACAACCATCACATTCCCCAATCAGGTCTGTCTCCCCATTCTGGATGTCTCCCATCCATGCCCCTCCACGTGCTGGTGAGACTTGGTTCCCAGAAGAAAGAATGTTATTTTGGCTACATGTTCCTCTCAGTTATCTATACTCCCCCTCCCTTTTCCACAGCTCCATCCAGCCTCACTGTGGCAACCCTGAAGACATTCAGAGATGGCTGCTGAATTGACGGTTGCCTTATGAACAAGCACATTTTGGCAAATAACTAAGTCATTAAGGAAAAATGTCACCTAAACCAGACAAAAGACGTTCAGCTAGAGCAGATGGGAACACCCCCTCCCCAAATTCTCATAAATATGAACCAGTTGCCAAGGATCTGAATTTTGATCACACGATTACAGGGATTTGCAAAGGTTGTAAGTGTAAAAAACGGCTGGAAGTCACTTTTTTCAATCCTGCTGTAAACTCTGAATGGTCACTAAATGAACTGTTGTAAATCAAACACCACCTGTACGTAGAGATACCTGGATGCATCGCTCTCATTCAAGTTTTTTTTCCTACTTATATTAGGTCTGTCCCCTTTCAGTGTGTAATGAACAGTGCCATCATGGAAAACACAAGAAAAAGAAGGAAGGGGAAAAATTTTGTTGCTATGACTGTGTTCCTTGCCCTGAAGGGGAGGTTTCAAACAAAACAGGTACATTATCCATTGCTATAACAGTCTGTTGTTTCTCATCTAACAGCAGTAATATAAGCTGCTGCATCAGTTAACTAAGAAGAACTTTGAAACTGACATCTCTTGAGTACAAAGGCAGCATGATGTCAAGGAGTTCTGTTACTTTCCCACCAAAGTGGTACCTATTTATCTGCTCACATTTGCATGCTTTAAAAATGCTAGGTTAGCATAAGATGGGGCAAGGACAGGAGCTCACTTCATCACATGGTACTCATTTGTCATCCAAGGAGTTTCACTTTTCATTCAAGAAGCTGAAGAAGCTTCTTGGATGAGAAGCAAAGCATCTTCAAAGAAAAAAACAGAAAGTTCCCCTTGAAAAAGCATGTTTCTACTAATGTGAAATACATATTTATCTATCTATCTATCTATCTATCTATCTATCTATCTATCTATCTATCTATCTATTTATCCATCCAGTGGTGGGATGCTGCCGGTTCGGACTAGTTCAGGTGAACCAGTAGTTCCGATGATCAGCTGGGCCCACCCACCTGTCCCTGCCCTACCCTGTCCTATATTTCCTTCTTTCTGGCTCAGCTGATTCGCGACACACAGCTGATTTCCACACCTCCACTGTTCTACTTACCAGAACTGCCTTAAAATGTAAACAGCTGAGCTTAAAATTGCTGTATTTTGAATGCTGCGCATACAGAACCGGTTGTTTAAAAAACGGTTGCAGCCCACCACTCTGTCTGTCTGTCTGTCTGTCTGTCTGTCTGTCTGTCTGTCTATCTGTCTCTCTGTCTGTCTGTCTGTCTGTCTGTCTACTGTATCTATCTATCTATCTATCTATCTATCTATCTATCTATCTATCTATCTAAAGATATATATAAAGATACACACACACACACACACACACACACACAAACTCATGATGTTACAACTCTCCTTGGGAGACAAAGTGCTATACACAAATTAACCAGAAATCTTTCTTCCTTCCTTCCTTTCTATCTGTCTTAAAGATATGGAAAAATGCTTCAAATGTCCAGAAGACCAATACCCAACCAAAGGAAAAGATGACTGCATCTACAAAGTTGTAACATACCTTTCTTACAAGGAACTTCTAGGGTTTTCTTTGGCCTCCATTTCTATTTCATTGTCTTTGATCACTGCTCTCATATTAGGAATATTTCTTAAGCACAAAGATACCCCTCTGGTCAAAGCCAACAACCGGGACCTCACCTACATTCTCCTTATCTCCCTCCACTTCTGCTTCCTGTGTCCTCTCCTGTTCATTGGTGAACCCAATGAAGTCACTTGCCTTCTCCGACAACCAACCTTTGGCATCATCTTCTCCGTGGCTGTTTCTTGCATCTTGGCCAAAACCCTCACTGTGGTTGTAGCCTTCATGGCCACCAGGCCAGACTCCAACATGAAGAAGTGGGTGGGGAAAAGGATGGCAACCTCCATTGTCCTTTTCTTCTCTCTCATTCAAGTTGGCCTTTGCGCCCTCTGGCTAGGATCTTCCCCTCCATTCCCACAGTTGAACATGCATTCTGTGACCGAGGCCATCATCAATGAATGTAACGAAGGCTCTCCGGTCATGTTCTCCTGTGTCCTAGGCTACATGGGCTTCCTGGCTCTTGCCAGCTTCTTTGTGGCCTTCTGTGCTCGCAGATTACCGGACAGCTTCAATGAAGCCAAATTCATTACCTTTAGTATGCTGGTATTTTGCAGTGTTTGGGTGCTATTTGTTCCAACTTACCTGAGCTCCACGGGAAAAGCCTTGTTGGCTGTGGAGATCTTCTCCATTTTAGCTTCTAGTGCAGGATTACTGGGCTGTATCTTTTCCCCTAAATGTTACATCATTCTGTTCAGACCAGAGATGAATACCAGGGATCAGCTAGTAAGAAGAAAGAACTGAAAAATTCAATTCCTTTACTTTCTGGTACAATGTTGATTAGTATGTTTAAGATTTTGAGATCAAAAATTCATTGTAATGTCATTTATATTTCCTAATATTATTCAACTTCTTTACCAAGATTTATGATGAAGATAATAAGAATAAAGAGTTACAATATTAGATATCTTTCCTTTCTGGTGCAATGTTTGTTAGTATGGGTAAGATTTGGGGATTCAAACATCAATTATCATCAATTCTGTTTGCCTAATAATATTTAGCTTCTTTATCAAGAGGGATATACAAAGCATTGGAACCTCTCCTCTGAGGTAGTCCAGTCTTATAAAGAGCTTGGCATTCTGACTTCAAGTGTTCTAAGGCATTTTTCACATGTTTGTGGATCGCTTTATTAATAACACCAAGGTAAGTCCTGCCTGGACATTCTCAGATGACCTGGGAAGATCTTTCAGCCTTCCTCTGAATATAGCTGTCTAAGCTTGCTTTACAAAATGCCTCTTCAAATGTTTCTCCTGGTTTTTCTCCAGTTTTTCCTTTTATTGGCATCAATGCATTCTTAGGGTTGTGCTCATTCTCCAGAAGATATTTCTGGTCAACAAAACTCCACATAATGATGGAGTCAGATTGCTTTGCTTCAGAGCTCCCCATCCTCTGGGTACCAAAATCCCGATAAAGGCAACTATTTTGGCAGAGCAAGGGGTGACAAGATAGCAGTGTTCCAATATCTAAGGGGCTGCTACAAAGAAGCTAGGCATCATTCAGCACCTGAAGGCAGGAGAGGATATAATGAATGGAAATTAATCAAGGAGAGGACCAAGGTAGAACTAAGGAGTGATTTCCTGACAGTTAGAATGACTGATCAATAAAATAACTCATCTCCAGAAATTGTGTTGCTCCAACACTGGAGGTTTTTAAGGAGAGTTTGGACAAACATTTGTCTATCAGGGTTTTCTGCTTGAGCAGAGGTTTCACTTTTTTAGCCCATTTTGGGGCTTTTATGTCCCATTTTCAAGGCTTTTTTTGGCCCTTTTTTGGGGGGAAATGGGCAGAAAAAAGCCCTGAAAACCGACCAAAAAAAAAAGGCCCAAAAATGGGGCATGCAGAGGCCAAAAAATGGCCAGCAGGTGGGCGGGGCTTCAGCAATATTCGGTCTATGAGACACACAGACATTTTTGCCCCTTTTTGGAGACAAAAAAGTGTATCTTATAGTCCGAAAAATACGGTAATAGTTGTTATAAGGCCCCAGGTGAAGCCATATCGTGAGAAGCAGAAGGCTGAAAGTGGCATAGAAAAACTCCAAAGAAAGTGGTGTACATGCACAAAAGCACACTGAAATCATCTGACATGACAGGCAAGAGCAATGAGTCCCTTTTAAGAGTTAATCAGAATAAAGAAAATGACACCCGAGTTGATGTGTGTTAGAGAGTCACTGGTATAGCAATAGCAAAGGCTTTTATAGTTTATATGCCACTCCATAGTGTGTTACATTACTCTAAGGGTGGTTTGCAGTGTCAGCATTTTGCCCTCAATAATCTGAGTCTTCATTTTATCAGCCTTGGAAGGAGGGAAGGATGTGTCAATCTTGAGTCAACCAGGATCAAACTTCTCACTCTGGGCATAGTTAGACTGAAATTCTACTTTCTTAGCATTCCATCACCAAGCAATGATTGAACATAAAGGGCCATCCAAAGGATTTGTTGAAACCCCTATCCAACTCCTTTCCAATCCCTATGTAACCTCCTTTCCAACTCCTCTTGAAAGAAGGGGACAACTCACAGCCGCTAGGTGGGTATGGCTGGGTGGTTGCAGTTGGGCCAGAAAAACTAGATGGGCATAGATGGCTGGCATGGCACACTTGCTAACTCAATATGCCACACCACATTCCAAACTTGAAGGAAGAGAAAAAATACAATTATTAGCAAAAAAAAGTTATTTAGAATTCCAAACCCAGCATTCAAAGAATTATTCTCTGAATTATCTCTCTCCGGATTTAGTCAAATCAATTTTGTTTCAGCCAACCTATTGTTCAACTATTTCTCAGGGGAAAATAAGTCTGAACATGTCTATTATGCCTCCAATATTCAAAACTGGGAGGAGGGACCTGAAGTAAGTGAGTTTCTAAAGAGTTAATTTTTCAAATCTCTCCCTTTTTAATCTACTGGTATCCATCTGAATTTAGAATGTTAGCAGGCTCAGTTGATACACATCGACTTGCATTTATCTCTTTGTTAAATGGGAACCAATCTAATTTTTCTCAAAAATGATAATGGTCCCAATCAGAGGCGGATTAAAATGGCAGTTGAAATGAACTAGACTGTACAGATGCCGAAAACTGAGATTTTCTCTCAGACGATCAAACAATCTATGGTTTTAGCTCTGATATTTAACTTAGTGGCAGATATAGCCGGTCTGAAATGTCACCAGAGTGATCTTCTCCCTGTTCCTCATGAGTGGTACGAGCCAGCTGACTTCCTCATTGGTGGGATGGTCTCTCAGTTTGTGTATGCGTTCAGAGAAGATCTATTTGAGGAAATGCCTTCACACGTCTCAGCTGACTTTTCTGAGTAAGTGTTTTTACCTATGGAGATTCTCAGAAATCCAGGTCATAGTTATCTCGAAGGTTTAATGTCTTTTCTTTCAAAAGACAACTGGATTGTTTGTTTGTTTGTTTTCATTTGAAGAGGAAGAGGAAGAAGATGGAAGACTACCAGTGAAGGCTTTCAAAAAGAGACTGGACAACCATACTGTATGTCTGAAATAATATAGGGTCTCCCAAAGGTGCTTTTTCAAGAGGTACAGTAACTGGACTTTCTCTTCTTTCTTTGAAGATGATTTGCTTCTCAGAGCTGAAGAAGCTTCTTTTGATGAGAAGTGAAACGTCTTTAAAGAAAAACCAGAAAGTCCAATTGTCTCTTGAAAAAGCATCGTTAGGACAACCATGACCCTGATGACTGAGAATCTCCACAGACAGATATAGGATCTCCTACTCAAGCAGGAGGTTGGACTGGAAGACCTACGAGGTTCCTTCCAACTCTATTATTCTATCTTCTGAGACATTTTGCTTCTTATGCAGGAAGCTTCATCAGTTATAATGCTATAGGTTATACAACAGTTATAATGTTATAGGTTACACATAATGTTCATTGGTTATCATTATAACTGATGCAGCATCTTTGAGAAGAATCTCAAAGGTGCTTTTTCAAAAAGCAACTGGGCAACTATATCAACTATGATCTGGATGACTGATAGTCTACACTGATACCTTGGAAAATGATGACACAAATAAAGAAACAGTCCAGTTGCCTTTTGCAAGAAAAAAATGGAACTTTGACAGAATATGTTTGTGTGTGTGTGTGTGTGTTTTGGTCACTACACCTGCAAATATTAGCCAGACTGACAACAAAGGTGGAACTGAGGAACTTTGTCTGTGAGAGATAATGTTTCATAAACTATAATACCTTACTCAGTATTAGCCCTACCGTTAAGTAACCAGTGCATTGGTCCATCCTTATGGATAATTTTTTTTATTTTGAAACAATGGCCTAAAATTCTAGAGAAAGGTAAAGTACTAGGAAACAACAACAAAAATAGTCAGCCTCTATTTTCTTTGGTGTGAAAACAGTTACAATATCTAGCTTGCAAAATAATATAAACAAAGTGTGACTATATTAAAGATATACTTTTATGGTGCTATATTGTATAGCAGGTTGACTTGAGCTGTGGTTTTTCCATTCACTTATAATAATGCAATAAACTTGATGTCAGTTACAATTTTCTATACATATGGAACTTTCTATTCAACATTTCCTTGTCTTCTCATGAAAATTACAATTGTGTTTTTGTCCTTGCAGCCCCTGTGCTCCATCCCTTCTTCATTTTTTTCCTTTAATGGCTTCTGTGCTAAAAATTTAAATTTATTGATCAATTGATTCAATATGTACAACAACCCCTCTTACCAAGTAACTCTGAATGATGAACAATGTTTTTTCTTTTTTTTAAAAAAAAAAATACAATTACAGTTAAAAATTCAATTCAAAAAAAATATATTAATATTTGTTATAGTGTTGCATTTAACTGATTTCAATCTCTCAAGTTTTTTATTGCAAATCACAGTTTAAAAATTAGGTGGGCTTATGTAATTGAGTTTAGAAAAAAAACATCAAGTAAAAGAGTGTTTTTGTAAACATGAATAGGATGCTGGCTAAGGTTGCTTTGTAGCTTTGTAAACATTGGAAGCTTGATTTCTGCACATGTTTGGAAAAAGAATGCACTTCTATTTTCAGTATGGTGACAAAGTTCTACCAGCATGCCCTTGCCGTGGCCTTTGCTGTGAAGGAGATCAATGAGGATCCCCAGATCTTGCCTAATGTTACGCTTGGATTCCACATCTACGACAGCTACTATGATGCAAAGATGACTTATCGGACCACCTTGGACTTGCTCTTCAAATCAAGGAGCTTTCTTCTCAACTACAAATGTACTAGACAGAAGAACCTGATAGCCATCATTGGAGGACTTGGTTCTGATACCTCTTTTTACATGGCAGATATCCTTGGTCTCTACAAGATTCCACAGGTAGGGGTTTTGCAGTATAAAACATGGAAATTACGTATTTTTTTCCCACGTTAAACTCCTGGTGATTCTAAAAGGAGGAAAGGCTAATTGAAAGGCTAATTAACTGCATCCAGGTTTGGTCAACACACTATAAAAAAAGATGTTGAGACTCTAGAAAAAGTGCAGAGAAGAGCAACCAGGATGATGAGGGGACTGGAGACTAAAACTTAAGACGAATGGTTGCAGGAAGTGGGCATGGCTAGTCTAGTGAAGAGAAGGACCAGGGTAGACTAGATGACCTATGAAGTCTTTTCCAACTCTTTTAATCTGGCCAAAAAATATTGCTGGAAATGAATTATGCACTAATACTTTAGAAACAGTTCCCAAACTAATGCATGGTTCTCTGTGCATTGACAAACCAATTCTATGAACTGACAAGTTGTTTCAAAAATGGTAACAAAATCAGACATACAGAAATGAAGCTGTCCCCCGGTTTTCAAAATTATAATTATATTTGTAGCTCACCTATTGTGCCCTGGTCCCTGGGAAGATTAATTCCACTCTAGTCCCTTCATTCTATTCCATGGTCTCCAACGAAGCCCAACAGTACTTGGGGATTCTTAAATTGCTCCAACATTTTGGATGGACCTGGATCGGGATCTTCACTCATGACAATGACGACGGACAGAATTTCCTGCAGACTCTGGAAGCTTTGCTTTTCCAGAATGGCATCTGCACAGCTTACAGACAAAAAATCCCACAGCGCCTCTGTTTGGATAACATTGAGGAAATGATCGAAATAACTTCATATATCGATGAACCTTTAATTGATCACAAAACCAAGGTATTCCTCCTCTATGGTGAATCAATGACGCTGGTTCTGCTGAGGACCATTCTATTCATACAAGACCCCAGAAATAAATTAAAAGATTCATTTATGAAAGTATGGGTCATGACAAGTGGCATTGATTTCACACTATCCTTCCTGCAAAGAACTTGGGACTTGGATTTTTTTCAGGGTGCCATTTCCTTTACATTTCACTCAAGAGATCTTCCAGGGTTCAATACATTTCTTGAGGGCATAAAACCATCCAAGACGAAAAGTCAGGGCTTCCTGAAGGAGTTTTGGGAGCGAGCATTTGCCTGTACTTTTCCAAATCCTGATATGGAAATAGGGAATAATGAAATGTGTACTGGAAAAGAGAGATTACAGGACCTTCCCGGACCTCTATTTGAGATGGGAACCACTGTACATAGCTACAGTATCTATAACGGTGTTTATGCAGCAGCACATGCTTTGAATGCCATGTTGTTCTCTCAGTCCCATCAGAGATCTTTCAGGAAGGTGAAAATTGCTGAACCTTTTGAGCTACAACCTTGGCAGGTAATTGTAAAAACAACGGAACACTTTTATGCCCATGTTCAGATTGGGTTTTTCTCTTCAACTATTTCCATGAGTAGCCCTTAGCCACAGACCAGGGATGAAATCCAGCAGGTTCTGACAGGTTCTGGAGAACCGGTAGTGGAAATTTTGAGTAATTCGGAGAACAGGCAACTTTTTGAAAGCTCATAACTTCCCAAAGAGCTGCTGATTCAGTTCTACAGAGGAATTACTGAGTCTGTCATCTGCACCTCTAAAACTGTCTGGTTTGGCTCTGCAACCCAACAAGACAGAAATAGACTTCAGAGGATAATTAGAACTGCAGAAAAAACAATTACTACCAACCTGTCTTCCATTGAGGACCTGTATACTGCATGAGTCAAAAAGGCGGCTGTGAAAATATCTGCAGACTCTTCGCATCCTGGACATAAATTGTTTCAACTTCAACCCTCAAAACAATGCTATAGGACTCTATACACCAGAACAACAAGGCACAAGAACAACTTTTTCCCAAATGCCATCACTCTGCTAAACAACTAATTCCCACAATACTGTCAAATTAACTACTAGGACTGTTTTACTATTCTTCTTCTCCTCATCCTTACTAGGACCTATTTCTTCACGCTTATGGCTATATCCATGTTGCTTGAATCTTTACAACTTATACTGTCTTTATTGTTTCTTAGTATGATTTGATTACTTATTAGTATCCTATGACTATCACTAAGTGTTGTATCTTATGATTCTTGACGAATATATTTTATTTTTTCTTTATGTACACTGAGAGCATATGCACCAAAGACAAATTCCTTGTGTGTCCAATCACACTTGGCCATTAAAGAATTCTATTCTATTCTATTCTATTCTATTCTGTTCTGTTCTGTTCTGTTCTGTTCTGTTCTGTTCTATTCTATTCTATTCTATTCTATTCTATTCTATTCTATTCTATTCTATTCTATTCTTACTCTACTCTAGATTCCATTCCATTCCCTAGCCTCCTCTTCCCTTCCCTTCCCTTCCCTTCCCTTCCCTTCCCTTCCCTTCCCTTCCCTTCCCTTCCCTTCCCTTCCCTTCCATTCCATTCCATTCCATTCCATTCCATTCCATTCCATTCCATTCTATTCTATTCTATTCTATTCTATTCTATTCTATTCTATTCTATTCTTACTCTACTCTAGATTCCATTCCATTCCCTAGCCTCCTCTTCCCTTCCCTTCCCTTCCCTTCCCTTCCCTTCCCTTCCCTTCCCTTCCCTTCCCTTCCCTTCCCTTCCCTTCCATTCCATTCTATTCTATTCTATTCTATTCTATTCTATTCTATTCTATTCTATTCTATTCTATTCTATTCTATTCTATTCTATTCTAGGTAATTGATGGAGAAGAAATTAGCCTGAGGGTCATTTGAGGTCTGTGAGGTCATAATATTTCTTAATCAGAATTAATGACTGGAATTAGGGAAGTAGAACTATGTCACCCTAACTGCAAGCAGAAATGAAATCTAATGGATATTCATCCCGTTTGTTTTCTTTCTTCTAAATGTTGTAAGCTTTTCTGTTTTTTCCTCTTGGCTTTCCATTAGCTCCATCCGTATCTTCAAAGGGTTTCTTTCAACAATTCTGCTGGTGAGACAGTGTCCTTCAATGAGCAAAAGGAAATGAGAGGTGGAATTGACATTGTGCACATGGTCATTTTTCCAAACAGGTCCTTCAAGAGAGTGAAAATTGGATGGATCAATCCAAATGGACCCCAAGAAGATGAATTTGTCATCAGTGACAATATGATTTTGTGGCCTAGAGCTTTCAATCAGGTAGGTATTCTTGTGGTTTCTTGAGAGAGCCCATGTTCTCCAATTGGATCACTGACATTGATTTCACATCAAATCAGGTCTGGATTTAGCATAGGTAACATTGCCATGTTTGAAGGACCTCAGGCAAGAGTTCCTTCACTTCTCCATATCATTCCACTTGCTTCCTTGCCTGTCCTTTCTCTTTTCCCCAGTTCCCAATTTTGGTTCCTCAGTGGCTTTCACACACATCACCCCAAATAATAGGACTGTTATTATCTTTACTACAAAACCTGGACAGTCAGACCAAAATGCCATAAGGCTGAACATCAGTCCCTCTTATTTTCTTTCTAGTGCAATCTCAACCTATCTGTAGAATCTGCAGAATCCTCTCTAAGTTTAAGTTTACTTTATTGTCATTGCACCTCGTACAACAAAATTAAATGCCACCTTCAGTGTACATCATACACTGATGTACACAACAACAACAACAATAATAATAATCACAACCTTCACATTCTACACAATTGAATTGAAAACCCCTGATACTGCATTAGTATTGCACTATACAGTAGAATTCAACTTAGTTACTGCTCTGGGATATAAGCTGTTTTTCAGGCTCTAAATCTGACTTGTACTTCAATTAAAGTAGAAATGAAAAATGTGATGCTTTGTTTATACTATAGGCTTGGGAATACTACTTTTCCAAATATTATGATTTCTGTATTCAGGTAGCTCTTGACTTATGACCATATTTGGTACCAGATTTTCCATTGTTAAGCAAAGCATCTGTTGAGTTGTGTGTGACTGACTTGACAACATTTTTGTTAAGGTTGTAAAGTGAATCACCACACAGTTTGTGAGACTAGACTGAAGCTGCCATACCTAAAGATGAAGCAGGAATGTAAAGAGGCTGGATAGCCAGGAATATTGTCTAAAAGATTCCTTCAGGAGATAGATAAGGAGTTACTAAGTCTTTATGGAGATTCACATGTCATCCATGCAGAAGTTGTGAATGCCCCAACACTGGGAATTTTAAGAAGATGTTGGATAACCATTTGTCTGAAGTGGTGTAGGGTTTCCTGCCTGGGCAGGGGGTTGGACTAGAAGACCTCCAAGGTCCCTTCCAACTATTCTATTCTATTCTATTCTATTCTATTCTATTCTATTCTATTCTATTCTATTCTATTCTATTCTATTCTATTCTATTCTATTCTATTCTATTCTATTCCATTCCATTCCATTCCATTCCATTCTATTATATCAAGGATATGGTTGTCCCAAAGGTGCTTTTTCAAAAGGCAGATGTTTTGCTTCTCATCCAAGAAACATCTTCAATTCTAACTGAAGATCTAAAGAAGTTTCTTGAATGAGAAGTGAAATGTCTTCAAACAAAAACTAAGTTCAGTTGCCGTCAGGGTTCCAAGTAAAAGTTGCCTGCTTCTCGGCTCCAGGACTTTCTAGACTATCCTATGGAACCATGGCCAGATGTCATCTCCATCTTTTCAGTTTTTGGGTGTACTCAGCGGCCGAGCTTCTTGAACTGCGAGACTCCCCCCTCTCCCAGGTCTGGCCCTCCATACTATCGAGGGCCTACCTTGATGACGGGTTTTGGAACCCCAAGAGGTGGTGCAAAGAGGAGGTTGAGGGGGTTTTGGGGGAATTTTTTAAGGAAAAATTTAAGGGGTTCAGACGGAAACCCTTAAAATGTCAGACGGCACCAGCGGGGATGGCGGGGGGGCGGGAGGAGAATGCTGGACTGAAGGTCATTCTATCATTGTGGTGGTTGGGAGGTACGGTGGTGGAGGGAACAGAGGACGTTCGGATATCAGAGGTGCGCATCCCCGCTGCTTGCAGCGGGTTCAGCGCTATGACCCTCGTGGTTCTGCCTATGTCCCTGAGGGGTTAGGAGTGCGGAACCCGGGACTCCGGCTGGTGTATTTTAAGGCCACGTCCGTTGTTAATAAGGCTTGTACGAGATTTGATTGACGAGGGGGATGCAGACCTGGCTTGTATCACAGAGATCTGGTTGGGCCCAGAGGGGGGGGGTTCACCTCTCTGATTTGTGTCCACCATGCTTCCATGTACTGCACCAGCCGTGACTTCATGGGAGGGGTGGTAGGGTGGCGGTTGTTATTAGGGAATTAGACCTAGAGTGGTCACTGTCCCTCAGATAGGCGGGTGTGAATCATTTCTGTTGAAATGGGATCCTGGAGTGCAGTTGGCTTTGTTGATTACCTACCTGTCTCCCAGCTGCATATCCTCAGTCCTGCCTGCACTGCTCGAAGTCTTAGCCGAACTGACGGTTGGGCTCCCCAACCTGATGTTTGTGGGAGATTTTAATCTCCCGTCAGCCGGTGAGACATCTGAGTTGGTTCGGGAGTTCATGGCCTCCATGGCGGTCATGGACCTGACTCAAGTTGTACAGTTGTACAGTGGTGCTCACACACTTGACCTGATTTTTGTCTCTGGGCAATGGATAAATGCTCGGGGTAGGGATGAACTTTCTATCCAACCCCTGTCATGGACTGACCATTCCCTCCTTAAACTAGACTTTCCGTCTGTCAACCCCCACTGCTGGGAGGCGAAACTGACTTGTTGGTTCCACCCCAGGTGCCTGATGGACTCTGATAGGTTTCTGACGAAGCTTGGGACATTTCCCCACTGACCTAGCCAGCGATTCACCAGAGGCCCTGGTGTATGCCTGGGAATGGGCCGCCACCGGGGCACTGGATCGAATCGCCCCTTTGCGGCTCTCCGCCGACAGGGATCCCGGGTAGCTCCATGGTTTTCTGCAGAGGTGCGGGAGATGAAGCATCGGAAGAGACGCCGGGAAGGCTGTTGGAGATTATCCCATTCCGAATCTGATTGAGCACAGTTAAGAACCCATATTAGGTCTTATCTTGTGGCAATGGAAGCGGCGAAACGGGACTATTTCACTGCTCTCATTGCATCTGCAGAAAATTGCCCAGCAGCCTTGTTCCAAGTGACCCACTCCCTCCTCAATCAGGGAGCGAGGGAGGACCCCTTACAAGGCAGTGCTGAGGACTTTGCACAATTTCTGCAAGACAAAGTTACTCAGATCCAAACGGGTTTAGACTCTGACTGGGTAGGATCTGACGAGGAAGTGGGAGCTAGTCTTGAAGGTAACATCTGGGTTGATTTTGACCCTGTTTCCATAGATGAAGTGGACAGGATTGTGGGTAGATTGGGGGCCTCCACATGTTTGTTGGACTCATGTCCCTCCTGGCTTGTTATGGCAACCAGAAAGGTGACTGGAGACTAGATCCAGGCGATTATCAACACTTCTTTGAGGGATGGAGTCTTCCCCGCCGTACTTAAGGAGGCGGTGGTTTGACCCCTCCTCAAGAAGCCTGCTCTGGATCCGGCCTCCTTGAACAACTTTCATCCTGTCTCCAACCTTTGCTTCATAGTGAAGGTTGTTGAGTCTGTGGTGGCATACCAACTTCCACAATTCCTGGAGGAAACGGATTATCTGGACCCATACCAATTGGGTTTCAGGAGTGGGCACAGCATGGAAATGGCATTGGTCACCCTGGTGAATGATCTCTGGCAGGCCCAGGATGAGGGGTTTTCCTCCATTCTAGTGCTACTTGACCTCTCAGCAGCTTTCGATACCATCGACCATGGTATCCTACTGCGATGGCTCCGGGGGTTGGGGGTGGGAGGCACTTTTCTATGGTGGTTCTCCTCCTATCTCTTGGGCCGTACGCAGTTTGTTTGGGCAGGGGGTCAGAGATCCTCCCCAAGGCCCCTCGCCTGTGGAGTGCCGCAGGGGTCAGTTCTCTCCCCCCTGCTCTTTAATATCTATATGAAGCCGCTGGGTGAGATTATTCATAGTTTCTGGGTGAGGTATCATCAGTATGCTGATGATACCCAGCTCTACATCTCCACCCCAGACCAACCCAGGGATGCCCTTTCCATGATGTCCCAGTGCCTGGAGGCGGTACGGGTCTGGAAGGGTAGAAACAGGCTCAGACTTTTTTTTATTATTATTTTTTATTTATTTATTTATTTTTATATGCTGCCCTTCTCCGGAGACTCAGGGCGGCTTACAATGCATTAAACAATAGACTCAACCCCTCCAAGACTGAGTGGCTGTGGATGCTGATCTAGTTGCCCCATCACTTCAGATGGGAGGGGAGTCACTGACTCCCTCTGGAAGGGTTCGTAATCTCGGCATCCTCCTTAATTCTCGGCTGTCCTTGGTGGATCATCTGACGGCCGTGACAAGGGTTTTTTTTGCACAGGTTCACCTGGTGCACCAGTTATGCCCTTTCCTAGATAGGGATGCCCTCCGTACAGTCACTCATGCTCTCATTATTTCTCGGTTGGATTACTGCAATGGCCTCTACATGGGACTGCCCTTGGGGTGCACCCAGAGGCTCCAGCTGGTCCAGAATGAGGCCGCACGGGTTGTTAAGGGAGTTTCCCGTTACTCCCGTGTAACAACTCACCTATAAAGCCCTACATAGCATGGGCCCGGGGTACTTGCAGGACCACCTCCTACCGGCCTCCCACCTCCCTGTGCAGTCACATAGGGCTGCCCTCCTCCGGGTGCCATCGACCAGTCAATGTCAGCTGGTGGCCCCCAGGATGAGGGTGTTCTCGGTGGCCGGATCGACCCTCTGGAATGGGTTACCCATTGGGCTCCGGACGGCCCCTGACCTCCGCACTTTCCGCACCGGAGAAGATATGGCTGTTTCAGCAATTTCCCAGATCTGCTATGAGATTTTATTCTGTTTGGGGTTTTATATTGGCTGTTTTTAGGATTTCTTATTGTTACATGTTTTTATGCTGTGTGCCGCCCCGAGTCCTACGGGAGAAAGGTGGCATATAAATGTAATTAAATAAATAAATAAATAAATACCCAAATGAAATCAAAACTCCATAGCCAGAGACTTCCTCAAAGTGGAGATTTATTAGGCATGTCATATTGGCACAGCTGGTAAAACCCAACTCTGAAGTTCCCCATGTTTTCCCCACCCAGTTCAAACTCCAAACTTCTTCCCCCTCATCATACACAACCATCACCTTCCCCAATCAGGTCTGTCTCCCCATTCTGGATGTCTCCCATCCATGCCCCACCAGGTGCTGGTGAGAGTGTCCTTGGTTCCCAGAAGAAAGAATGTTATTTTGGCTACATGTTCCTCTCAGTTATCTATACTTCCCCTCCCTTTTCCACAGCTCCATCCAGCCTCACTGTGGCAACCCTGAAGACATTCAAAAATGGCTCCTGCATTGACAGTTGCCTTATGAACAAGCACATTTTGGCAAATAACTAAGTCATTAAAGAAAAATGTCACCTAAACCAGACAAAAGAAGTTCAGCAAGAGGAGATGGGAATGCCCCCTCCCCAAATTCTCATAAATATGAACCAGTTGCCAAAGATCTGGATTTTGATCACATGATTGCAGGGATTTGCAAAGGTTGTAAGTGTGAAAAATGGCTGTAAATCACTTTTTTCAATCCTGCTGTAAACTCTGAATGGTCACTAAATGAACTGTTGTAAGTCAAGGACCACCTGTACATAGAGATACCTGGATGTATCACTCTCATTCCAGTTTTTTTTCCTACTTATATTAGGTCTGTCCCCTTTCAGTGTGTAATGAACAGTGCCATCGTGGAAAACACAAGAAAAAGAAGGAAGGGGAAAAATTTTGTTGCTATGACTGTGTTCCTTGCCCTGAAGGGGAGATTTCAAACAAAACAGGTACGTTATCCATTGCTATAACAGTCTCTTGTTTCTCATCTAACAGCAGTAATATAAACTGCTGCATCAGTTAACTAACCAGAACTCTGAAACTGACATCTCTTGAGTACAAAGGCAGCATGATGTCAAGGAGTTCTGTTACTTTCCCGCCAAAGTGGTACCTATTTATCTGCTCCCATTTGCATGCTTTTGAAATGCTAGGTTGGCATAAGATGGGGGCAAGGACAGGAGCTCACCCCATCACATGGTACTCACTTGTCATCCAATGTGTTTCACTTTTCATTCAAGAAGCCGAAGAAGCTTGTTGGATGAGAAGCAAAGCGTCTTTAAAAAAAAACCCCAGAAAGTCCAGTTGCCTCTTGAAAAAGCACGTTAGGGGCTTTGCGACTTATGTGAAATACAAATCAGTCCATGTTACGTTTGGTGGCTCGGAGTGAAGGTCACCCCACTGACTTTTTGTCTAAGGTGGGAGTAGAACTCACAATCTTCTGGTTCCTTGCAGAATCTATCTATCATCTATCTATCTATCTATCTATCTATCTATCTATCTATCTATCTATCATCCATCCATCCAGTGGTGGGATGCTACCAGTTCGGACTGGTTCAGGTGAACCAGTAGTTCTGATAATCAGCTGGCCCCACCCACCCGTCCCTGCTCTATCCTGTCCTAAATTTCCTTCTTTCTGGCTCAGCTGATTCGCGTGGCACAGCTGATTTCTGCACCTCCACTGTTCTACTTACTAGGGCTGCCTTAAAATGTAAACAGCTGAGCTTCAAATTGCTGTGTTTTGAACTCTGCGCACACAGAACCGGTTGTTTAAAAACTGGTTGCATCTCACCACTCTATCTACCTACCTATCTATCTATCTATCTATCTATCTATCTATCTATCTATCTATCATCTCTCATCTATCTAAAGATATATATAAAGATACACACAAACACACACAAACTCATGATGTTACAACTCTCCTTGGGAGACAAAGTGCTATACACAAATTAACCAGAAATCTTTCTTTCTGCCTTCCTTTCTATCTGTCTTAAAGATATGGAAAAATGCCTCAAATGTCCAGAAGACCAATACCCAACCAAAGGAAAAGATGACTGCATTCACAAAGTTGTAACATACCTTTCTTACAAGGAACTTCTAGGGTTTTCTTTGGCCTCCATTTCTATTTCATTGTTGGTGATCACTGTTCTCATATTAGGAATATTTCTTAAGCACAGAGATACCCCTCTGGTCAAAGCCAACAACCGGGACCTCACCTACATTCTCCTTATCTCCCTCCACTTCTGCTTCCTGTGTCCTCTCCTGTTCATTGGTCGACCCAGTGAAGTCACTTGCCTTCTCCGACAACCAACCTTTGGCATCATCTTCTCCGTGGCTGTTTCTTGCATCTTGGCCAAAACCCTCACTGTGGTTGTAGCCTTCATGGCTACCAGGCCAGACTCCAACATGAAGAAGTGGGTGGGAAGAAGGATGGCAACCTCCATTGTCCTTTTCTTCTCTCTCATCCAAGTTAGCCTTTGTGCCATCTGGCTAGGATCATTCCCTCCATTCCCACAGTTGAACATGCATTCTGTGACCGAGGCCATCATCAATGAATGTAACGAAGGCTCTCCGGTCATGTTCTCCTGTGTCCTAGGCTACATGGGCTTCCTGGCTCTTGCCAGCTTCTTTGTGGCCTTCTGTGCTCGCAGATTACCGGACAGCTTCAATGAAGCCAAATTCATTACCTTTAGCATGCTGGTATTTTGCAGTGTTTGGGTGCTATTTGTTCCAACTTACCTGAGCTCCACGGGAAAAGCCTTGTCAGCTGTGGAGATCTTCTCCATTTTAGCTTCTAGTGCTGGATTACTGGGATGTATCTTTTTCCCTAAATGCTACATCATTCTGTTGAGACCTGAGATGAATACCAGGGATCAGCTGGTAAGAAGAAAGAACTGAAGAATTCAATTCGTTTACTTTCTAGTAGAATATTGATTAGTATGTGTAACATTTTGGGATCAAAAATTCATTGTAATGTCATTTATATTTCCTAATATTATTCAACTTCTTTACCAAGATTTATGGTGAAGATAATAAGAATAAAGAGTTACAATATTAGATATCTTTCCTTTCTGGTGCAATGTTTATTAGTATGGGCAAGATTTGGGGATTCAAACATCAATTATCATCAATTCTGTTTGCCTAATAATATTTAGCTTCTTTATCAAGAGGGATATACAAAGCATTGGAACCTCTCCTCTGAGGCAGTCCAATCTTATAAAGAGCTTGGCATTCTGACTTCAAGTGTTCTAAGGCATTTTTCACATGTTTGTGGATTTGCTTTATCAATAACGTCAAGGTAAGTCCTGTCTGGACATTCTCAGATGACCTGGGAAGATCTTTCAGCCTTCCTGTGAAAATGGCTGTCTAAGCTTGCTTTACAAAATGCCTCTTCAAATGTTTCTCCTGGTTTTTCTCCAGTTTTTCCTTTTATTGGCATCAATGCATTCTTAGGGTTTTGCTCATTCTCCAGAAGATATTTCTGGTCAACAGAACTCCACATAATGATGCCCAGATGTCAGATTGCTTTGCTTCAGAGCTCCCCATCCTCTGGGTACCAAATTACCGACAATGGCAACTATTTTGGCAGAGCAAGGGGTGACAAGATAGCAGTGTTCCAATATCTAAAGGGCTGCCACAAAGAAGCTGGGCATCATCCTATATGCCAAAGCACCTGAAGGCAGGACAGGATACATTGAATGGAAACTAATCAAGGAGAGGACCGAGGTAGAACTAAGGAGAGATTTCCTGACAGTTAGAATGATTGATCAATAGAATAACTCATCTCCAAAAATTGTGTTGCTCCAACACTGGAGGTTTTTAAGAAGAGTTTGGACAAACATTTGTCTAGCAGGGTTTTCTGCTTGAGCAGAGGTTTGACTTTTTTTGGCCCATTTTGGGGGCTTTTATGTCCCATTTTCAAGGCTTTTTTGGCCCTTTTTTGGGGGGAAATGGGCAGAAAAAAGCCCTGAAAACCAACCAAAATAAAGGCCCAAAAATGGGGCATGCAGAGGCCAAAAAATGGCCAGCAGGTGGGCGGGGCTTCAGCAATATTCGGTCTGTGAGACACACAGACATTTTTGCCCCCTTTTTGGAGACAAAAAAGTGTGTCTTATAGTCCGAAAAATACGGTAATAGTTGTTATAAGGCCCAAAGTAAAGCCATATCGTGAGAAGCAGAAAGCTGAAAGCGGCATAGAAAAACTCCAGAGAAAGTGGTGTACATGCACAAAAGCACACTGAAATCATCTGACATGACAGGCAAGAGCCATGAGTCCCATTTAAGAGTTAATCAGAATAAAGAAAATGACACCCGAGTTGATGTGTGTTAGAGAGTCACTGGTACAGCAATAGCAAAGGCTATTATAGTTTATATGCCACTCCGTAGTGTGTTACATGACTCTAAGGGTGGTTTGCAGTGTCAGAATTTTGCCCCCAACAATCTGAATCTTCATTTTATTGGCCCTGGAAGGAGGGAAGGATGGGTCAATCTTGAGTCAACCAGGATCAAACTTCTGACTGTGGCCATAGTTAGACTGAAATTCTACTTTCTTAGCATTGCGTCACCAAGCAATGATTGAACATAAAGGGCTGCCAAAGGATTTGTTGGAAACCCCTATCCATGTACGTAACCTCCTTTCCAACTCCTCTTGAAAGAAGGGGACAACTCACAGCCGCTAGGTGTGTATGGCTGGGTGGTTGCAGTTGCGTCAGCAAAACTAGATGGGCATAGATGGGTGGCATAGCACACTTGCTAACTCAATATGCCACACCACCTTCCAAACTTGAAGGAAGAAAGAAAATACAATTATTAGCAAAAAAAAGTTATTTAGAATTCCAAACCCAGCATTCAAAGAATTATTCTCTGAATTATCTCTCTCCAGATTTAGTCAAATCAATTTTGTTTCAGCCAACCTATTGTTCAACTATTTCCCAAGAGAAAATAAGTCTGAACATGTCTATTATGCCTCTGATATTCAAAACTGGGAGGAGGGACCTGATGTAAGTGGGTTTCTGAAGAGTTAATTTTTCAAATCTCTTCCTTTTTAATCTACTGGTATCCATCTGAAGTTAGAATGTTAGCAGGCTCAGTTGATACACATCGACTTGCATTGATCTCCTTGTTAAGTGGGAACCAATCTAATTTTTCTCAAAAATGATAATGGTCCCAATGAGAGGCAGATTAAAATGGCAGTTGAAATGAACTAGACTGTACAGATGCCAAAAACTGAGATTTTCTCTCAGACAATGAAACAATCTATGATTTTGACTCTGATCCTTAACTTAGTGGGAAATATAGCCAGTCTGAAATGTCACCAGAGTGATCTTATCCCCATTCCTCATGAGTGGTACCAGCCGGCTGACCTCCTCATTGGTGGGACGACCTCTCAGTTTCTGTATGCGTTCAGAGAAGATCTATTTGAGGAAATGCCCTCAAAGGTCTCAGCTGACTTTTCTGAGTAAGTTTTTTTACCTATGGAGATTCTCAGAAATCCAGGTCATAGTTATCTCGAAGGTTTAATGTCTTTTCTTTCAAAAGACAACTGGATTGTTTGTTTGTTTTTATTTGAAGAGGAAGAGGAAGAAGATGGAAGACTACCAGTGAAGGCTTTCAAAAAGAGACTGGAGAACCATATGTCTGAAATAATATAGGGTCTCCCAAAGGTGCTTTTTCAAGAGGTATTGTAAATGGACTTTCTGTTCCTTCTTTGAAGATGATTTGCTTCTCAGAGCTGAAGAAGCTTCTTTTGATGAGAAGTGAAACGTCTTTAAAGAAAAACCAGAAAATCCAATTGCCTCTTGAAAAAGCATCATTGGGACAACCATGACCCTGATGACTGAAAATCTCCGCAGACAGATATAGGATCTCCTACTCAAGCAGGAGGTTGGAGTGGAAGACCTATGAGGTTCCTTCCAACTCTATTATTCTATGTCCTAAGATATTTTGCTTCTTCTGCAAGAAGCTTCATCAATTATAATGCTATATTTTATGTAACAGAACTTTCTATTCAACCTTTCCTTGTCTTCTTGCAAAAATAACAATTGTGTTTTTGTCCTTGTGGCCCCTGTGCTCCAGCCCTTCTTCATTTTTTTCCCCCTTTAATGGCTTCTATGCTAAACTTTTAAATGTATTGATCAATTGATTGAATATATACAACAACCCCTCTTACCAAATAATTCTGAATAGTGAACTATGTTTTTTCTTTTTTAAAAAAGAAATACAATTACAATTAAAAATTCAATTCAATTAAAAAATTAATATTTCTTATAGTGTTGCATTTAACTGATTTCAATCTCTCAAGTTTTTTTATTGCAAATCACAGTTTAAAAACTAGGTGGGCTTATGTAATTGAGTTTAGAAAAAACTTCAAGTAAAAGAGTGTTTTTGTACACATGAATAGGATGCTGGCTGAGGTTGCTTTGTAGCTTTGTAAACATTGGAAGCTTGATTTCTGCACATGTTTGGAAAAAAAATGCACTTCTATTTTCAGTATGGTTACAAAGTTCTACCAGCATGCCCTTGCCGTGGCCTTTGCTGTGAAGGAGATCAATGAGGATCCCCAGATCTTGCCTAATGTTACGCTTGGATTCCATATCTACGACAGCTACTATGATGCAAAGATGACTTATCGGACCACCTTGGACCTGCTCTTCAAATCAAGGAGCTTTCTTCTCAACTACAAATGTACTAGACAGAAGAACCTGATAGCCATCATTGGAGGACTTGGTTCTGATACCTCTTTTTACATGGCAGATATCCTTGGTCTCTACAAGATTCCACAGGTAGGGGTCTTGCATTATAAAACATGGAAATTATGTATTTTTTTCTCATGTTAAACTCCTGGTGATTCTAAAAGGAGGAAAGACTAATTGAAAGGCTAATTAACTGCATCCAGTTATGGTCAACACACTATAAAAAAGATGTTGAGACTCTAGAAAAAGTGCAGAGAAGAGCAACCAGGATGATTAGGGGACCGGAGACTAAAACTTAAGATGAATGGTTGCAGGAAGTGGGCATGGCTAGTCTAGTGAAGAGAAGGACCAGGGGAGACATGATAGCAGTCTTCCAATATTTGAGGGGCTACCACAGAGAGGAGGGAATCAGTCTATTTTCCAAAGCACCAGAAGGCCAGACAACTTTCTGACTGAGAACAATCCACCAATGGAACAGAAATTGTTGTTGTTGTTGTTGTTGTTGTTGTTGTTGTTGTTGTTGTTGTTATTGTTATTATTATTATTATTATTATTTTCATCAAGCATGTATTTTATGACAGATACAAGTGTAAACATAATTATAAATACATGAAAAGGATACGAAAAAAATAAAACATTAGACAGAGACGGTAGGCACGCTGGTGTGCTTATGCATGCCCCTTACAGACCTCGTATTTTCTGCAGTCTAGTTTTGATCAGTTTACTATGAGTTTCTATCTATTGTGTGCTCTGGTATTGTTTTGATTGAAGCTGAACTATTCATTGACAGGTAGGACATTGTAGCAGATGATTTTATGTACTATGCTTAGGTCAGACCGAAGACGGTGAAGTTTTAAGTTATCTAAGCCCAAAATTTTGAGTCTGGTGGCATAAGGTACAGTAATGTGATGTGAGTAGAGGAGTGGAGGACTCTTCTTGTGAAATATCTCTGGACTTGCTCAATTGTATTAATGTCCAATATGTAGTGCGGGTTCCAGACAGATGAGCTGTATTCAAGAATTGATCTGGCAAAAGTTTTGTATGCCCTAGTTTGCAGTTCAATATCACCAGAGATGAAGCTATGCAATATTAAGTTAATAACTCTTAATGCTTTTTTAGCAATGCTGTTACAGTGAGCTCTGGCACTTAGATCATCTGAGATGAGTACTCCAAGGTCTTTAACAGAGTGAGGGTCGTCTGTTAGGTCACTTCCGTCCAGTTTGTATTTTGTGTTCCGGATTTTTTATGCCAATGTGTTAAAAAGAGCATTGGTTGAGATTTGGAGTTGCCAATTGTTTGATCATTCTGACACATAGTCAAGGTCTTTTTTTTTTTATTGAAAAAGTTTTACAAATATCAATTTTTCCCCCATTTCCCCCCACATCCCTCCCTAACCCCCCCAAACCCTCCCCTCTCCCCATGACTTCCCCAAGGTGAAATCCATCCACATTATATTATATCATACATTACCACCCCTCTATTCTCCCCCCTGTGCACTATACATTTCTACATAACAATAAGCTATTTTGCCCCCTATAAATTATACATTTCTACACAACATTTAGCTAAAGGCTATTTGGTACTTCCTAGTTTGATATTTATTCTGCACATAATCTATCCATTTCTTCCATTCCCATACATAAGTCTCTTGAGTCCGGTCTTTTAAGTATGCTGATATCTTCGCTATTTCTGCAAAGCTGGCCATCTTCAAAGTCCATTCTTGAATTGTAGGCATATCATCCCTTTTCCAATATTGACCAATCAGTAACCTAGCTGCTGTCACCATATACAATATCAATTTTGTTTCACCCACTGAAAAACCCTTAACTATACCCAGTAAAAACAATTGAGGAGAAAATTGAATTTTTTTCTTCAAGACATTTTGCATAACCCACCAAATTTTTATCCAAAAAGCCTTTGCTTTCTTGCATGTCCACCATATATGATAATATGTAGCATCTAAGCAATCACATCTCCAACATTTCAGTTGAACATTAGGATACATGCATGACAGTTTCTTAGGATCTAAATGCCACCTATAAAACATTTTATAAAAATTTTCCCTCAAATTCTGCGACTGTGTGAACTTAACATTCTGAACCCATATTTTTTCCCACGTTTCCATCATAACTGGTTCTGCAAAATTTTGCGCCCATTTTATCATACAATCTTTAACCAATTCATTTTCTGAGTCTCTTTCTAACAAAACATTATGAACCCTCTTAATATGCATTGGGCCTTTCTCTTTTATCTGTCTAACCAATTCTTCTTCATGCAACATTAAACCAGTTTTTTGATCTTCTCTCCATCTCAATTGAAGTTGATTATACTGTAACCAAGTTAAATTAATCCCTTCTTCCAACAGTGTGTTCAATGTCTTTAGTTGCCATCTGCCCCCATCATTAAAAAGTACTTCTTTGTATAAAACCCCCCAGAGTTACTTTATATTTATATTCCGTATAATGTGACCAAGGTCCAACCACAATGGTATTTTATAATCCCATTTGAGTCGGTGCTTCTTCCATACTCTCATCAAGGAGCTTCTAAGTATATGGCTATTAAATACTTTATCCACCTTGTTTTCATAAAATAAATATGCATGCCAACCAAATTCAAGATCATGACTTTCTATATTCAATATTCCAGTCTTTGTCCTTCCAAACCAATCACTTGCTTGTGTAAACACTGCAGCTTCATAATACAATCGCAGGTTTGGAAGTTTAAGACCACCCCTTTCACGAATATCTTGCATAATTTTCAATTTAACTCTTGGCTTTTTCTCATTCCAAACAAACTTATTCACTTCTTTTTTGCCATTCCATCAAGTATTTATCACTCTTAAGCACTGGAATCATTTGAAACAAAAATAAAAATCTAGGCAGAACATTCGTTTTAACTGCTGCTATTCTTCCAAGTAAAGACAGCTGCAGTTTTTTCCAGGTTTCCATATCCTTTTGTACCTTTCGCCACAACACCTCATAATTATTTTGAAACAGTTTTATATTTGAATCTGCAACTTGAACTCCTAGATATCTCACCTTTGATACTATTTCAAAGCCTGCCTTCCTTTCCAGTTCCTTCTTTTGATCAACTGTCATATTTTTAACTATCATCTTGGTTTTTTTCTGATTCAGTCTAAATCCTGATACCATACCATATTCTTCTATAAAGTCTTTCATCTGAATTATTGATTCCATCGGCTGTGTTAGGGTAACAACCAGATCATCTGCAAATGCCCTTGTTCTGTAATCTTCTTGCCTTATCACTATTCCCTTCAAAGTGCTTGAGTCCCGTATTGTATTCAACAAGACTTCTAAAGTTAGAATAAACAACAACGGGGATAACGGACAACCTTGTCTTGTGCCTTTTTCTATACTAAAATTTGTAGTTAAGCTTCCATTAATAATAATTTGTGCTGTTTGTTCTTGATAAATTGCTGAAACCGCCTGTACAAACTGATCCCCAAAGTCCATCTTTTTTAAAGTCTTTAATAGAAAGTTCCAATTCACTCGATCAAAGGCCTTCTCCGCATCCAGAAACACCAGCACTGCAGAGATCTGTTTATTCTTCTCAATTATAGACTATAAGTCTATAATTTGCCTCACATTATCCTTCATATATCTGCCTTCTATAAATCCTGCTTGATCATGATGAATCACCTCTTGAATAACTGGCATTAATCTGTTGGCTAATACTTTCGCAAAAATTTTATAATCCATATTCAGGAGAAATATTGGTCCAAAATTTTCCGGTTTTGTAGAGCCTGCCTCCTCTTTCGGTATCAGAGAGACAAAAGCTGATTTCCATGAAGGGGGTATTTTTCCCCCTTGTTGTATGCTACAAAATAAGTCTTTAAGATGTTCAATCATTTCTGCTTGTAAAGTTTTATAGTACACCGCAGTTAAACCATCTGTTCCTGGAGCTTTAGCTGTTTTCAGTTGTTTAATAGCAACAATAATCTCCTCAGCTGTTATTGGTAAACTCGTTCTTTCCTTTTGATCATTAGAAATTTTTATAACTCTCTTTTCTTCTAAGTATTTATTTATAAGTTCATTATGTATATCATCTTTAGCATATAGTTTGGTATAATAATCTAAGAAGGCTTCTTTAATTAGTCTTTGTTGAAATACTTCCTTCCCTCTATACTCAATACTCCCAATAGTCCGAGTACTCTGCTGTTTCCTCAATGTGTAAGCCAACCATCTGCCTGGTTTATTGGCATTACAAAATGTATTGTGTTTCACAAATTGTAAGTTAGTTGCTGCTTGTTCCGCTGTGAGCATATGGAATTGATCTTTCAAAAGTTTTATAACTCCTTGTAATTTTTCATCTGTTGGATTTTTTATAAGCAACTGCTCTTTTTTCTTTATCTCCCCTTCCAATTCTAATCTTTTTCTTTGTCGATTTGATTTATGTTTAGAATTCATATAAATCAGTAACCCCCGCATATACACCTTGCTCGCATCCCAAACAATTTCAATGGGGTACCCTTATTCAAGTTCATTTCAAAAAATTCCTTCATTTGTTTTTTAAGTTCATTTACATTCTTTTCATATCTAAACAAATTTTCATTTACTCTCCAAGATCTTCTCTCATTCTTTCCCATTTCTATTTCTATCCATACCGGGCTGTGGTCAGATAAAGTCCTCGGAAATATCTTTGTTTTCTTTGTTTTTGAGAGTAAATCGACTGTAAGTAAGATAAAATCAATCCTAGAGAAGGATCTGTGTCTATCTGGAAAAAAAGTAAAGTCCAATTCTTTTGGGTTATGCACTCTCCATATATCTTTCAATTCCAAATCTTCTTTCATAAAAAAAAAAAAAAAAAAAAAAACTGTGATAGTTTGACACATGATTTTGCCAAGCTCTTCTTATCTATTTTAGGATCTATTACTCCATTCCAATCTCCCATAAGTAGGATAGATCTATAGTCCCATTGTAGTATTTTAGAATGCAATAATTTATAAAAGTTTTCTTGCTGCTGGTTAGGAGCATAAATTCCAGTCACCAAAATTGGACCATTATCTGTAAGAAGTTCTATTGCTATATATCTTCCACAATCATCTGCTTCTATAATTTTTGTTGGCAGTCTTTTATTTGTATAAATCACTACACCATTCTTTTTCTCCAAATTTGAAGCTATAAACTGTGTTCCTAATCTAGAATTTATCAAATATTTTTGATCTTGTATTCTAATATGAGTTTCCTGTAAACAAATAACATCATTATTAAATCGTCTCAAATAATGAAATATCTTCCTCCTTTTCTGTGGTGAGTTCAATCCGTTCACATTCCAAGATAAAAACTTAATTGTCATCTGTAGTTTCCTGAAGCGATAAGAGCATTTGCTGAAGTTGCTGTTCCAGACTAGTAGTCTTCGGCTTAGCTCCTCCCATGGCTTCGAATTTTTGTGCTTTACCATTGACTCCCTGTTTATCTTGTGGTAGCTTAGAGCTCTGATGTTGTTGTTTCTCTAGAAATTGCTTGTAAACTGCTCGAGTTATATGCTGGTCTTTAGCACTGTGCAACATCAGGTCAAGATCCGCTGCCACTTCTCTTGTATTTTTAGGTGGTTCAGCTAAAGCCTCTAAGGGAAGATCCAACAGGGGTTTATCTAAAAAAAACTCTGTTGCTCCTTGGGTCTCCATTGCCTCCATCTCCATCTGCTTCCTCTGCTCTTCAAGCTCTTGTTCAAATTGCTTCTCTTTCTCACCCTCCACTATGGCTAACACCGAAGAAGTACGTGGAGATGCTGCACCAGATTTAAAAACATTAAAATAGAATTCTTCCGCTTTTTGAAGAGTGTTTAATCGATATCTCTCTCCTTGATACCTCAATATTATGCCAACTGGAGTGTCCCATCTAAATGGAATTTGTTGTTTCTTTAATTCAGTCACCAAAAATCCAAAGTCTTTTCTATCTCTTAGCATCTTAGGTGGCAACTCTTTGTAGATCCCAATCTCTCTTCCATCCACTTGAATAGTAGAAACAAATGACTTTTGTAAGATGTCATTTCTTATTCTTCTATCTGTAAAATATATCACCACATCTCTAGGCAGTTGCCTTTGCCTTGCCACCCAAGAATTCACTCTATAGACATTATCAAGTCAAACTTATCATAGTCAAGGTCTTATTGTAGAGTAGCAGCACTGTCAATGGTGTTGAATAGTTTTACATCATCCACAAAAAGAACGCAGTTGCTTATAATATGATCACAAAGGTCATTTATATAAAGTATAAAGAGTGTGGGTCCTAAAACTCTGCCTTGGGGGACACCGCTCTTAAGAGGTGCAGGGTTAGATAAGGCGTTCCCTAATTTGACTACTTGCTGTCTGTTTGATAGAAATGCAGCTATTCCAGTTTATGCAGGAATCCGGAAATGCCATAAGATTTTAGTCTTAGAAGTAGCTTGTTGTGTACCACTGATTTGAAGGCTTTACAGAAGTCTATATAAATTGCATCTATTGATTTACCCTGGTTGAGTTTTGAAGTCCATATGTTTTTGCAGTGTAATAGTTGCAGATTGTAGGACAATTGTTTTTCTAAAGCCAAATTGTTTGTTAGAGAGTAGGTTGTTAGTCTCTAAGTAGATAGTAATGGATTGGTTTATGATTGTTGCCTTCGGAAATTGTGGGAGCTTCATCACTTGAGACTTTCAAGAAGAGATTGGACTACCATTTATCACAAATTGTGTAGGGTCTCCTGCTTGACTATGAAGTCCCTTCCAATTCTGTTAATCTTCTGTTAATCTGGCCAAAAAATATTGCATGGTTTTCTATGCACTGATAAGTTATTTAAAAAATGGTAGCAAAATCAGACATACAGAGATGAAGCTGTCTGCTGGTTTTAAAAGTCATAATTATTTTTGTAACTCACCTATATATTATATTTGTAGCTCACCTACGGTGCACTGGTCCCTGGGAAGGTTGATTCCACTCTGGTCCCTTCATTGTATTCCATGGTCTCCAACGAAGCCAAACAATACTTGGGGATTCTTAAATTGCTTCAACATTTTGGATGGACCTGGATCGGGATCTTCACTCATGACAATGACGATGGACAGAAGTTCCTACAAACTCTGGAAGCTTTGCTTTTCCAGAATGGCATTTGCACAGCTTACAGACAAAAAATCCCACAGCGCATCCGTTTGGATAACTTTGAAGAAATGATGGAAATAACCTCATATAACAATGTAGCTTTAACTGATCACAAAACCAAGGTGTTCCTCCTCTATGGAGAATCAGTGACGCTGGTCCAGCTGAGATTCATTCTATTCCTACAAGACCCCAGAAATAAATTAAAAGATTCATTTATGAAAGTATGGGTCATGACAAGTGGCATTGATTTCACACTATCCTTCCTGCAAAGAAGTTGGGACCTGGATTTTTTCCAGGGTGCCATTTCCTTTACATTTCACTCAAGAGATCTTCCAGGGTTCAATAAGTTTCTTGAAGGCATAAAACCATCCAAGACCAAAAGTCAGGGCTTCCTGAAGGAGTTTTGGGAGCGAGCATTTGACTGTACTTTTCCAAATCCTGATATGGAAATAGAGAAGAATGAAACGTGTACTGGAAAAGAGAGATTACAGGACCTCCCCGGGCCTCTATTTGAGATGGGAACCACTGTACATAGCTACAGTATCTATAACGGTGTTTATGCAGCAGCACATGCTTTGAATGCCATGTTGTCGTCTCAGTCCCATCAGAGATCCTTCAGGAAGGTGAAAACTGCTGAACCTTTTGTGCTGCAACCTTGGCAGGTAATTGTAAAAACAACGGAACTCTTTTATGCCCATGTTCAGATTGGTTTTTTCTCTTCAGCTATTTCCATGAGTAGCCCTTAACCACAGACCAGGGGTGTAATCCAGCAGGTTCTGACAGGTTCTGGAGAACCAGTAGCGGAAATTTTGAGTAGTTCGGAGAACCGGCAACTTTTTGAAACTGCCCAAAGAGCTGCTGATTCAGTTCTACAGAGGAATTATTGAGTCTGTCATCTGCACCTCTAAACTGTCTGGTTTGGCTCTGCAACCCAACAAGACAGACACAGACTTCAGAGGATAATTAGAACTGCAGAAAAAACAATGGCTACCAACCTGTCTTCCATTGAGGACCTGTATACTGCATGAGTCAAAAAGGGGACTGTGAAAATATCTACAAACTCTTCGCATCCTGGACATAAATTGTTTCAACTTCTACCCTCAAAACAATGCTATAGGGCTCTGCACACCAGAACAACAAGGCACAAGGACAACTTTTTCCTGAATGCCATCACTCTGCTAAACAGCTAATTCCCACAACACTGTCAAATTCACTACTAGGACTGTATTACTATTCTTTTTCTCCTCATCCTTACTAGGACTTATTTCTTCATGCTTATGGCTATATCCATGTTGCTTGTATCTTTACAACTTATATTGTTTTTATTGTTTCCTAATATGATTAGATTACTTATTAGTATCCTATGACTATCACTAAGTGTTGTATTTTATTATTCTTGACAAATATATATATATGAATATATTGATGAATATATTTTACTTTTTCTTTATGTACACTGAGAGCATATGCACCAAAGACAAATTCCTTGTGTTCCAATCACAATCTATTCTATTCTATTCTGGGTAAGTGATGGAGAAGAAATTAGCCTGAGGCTCATTTGAGGTCTGTGAGGTCATAATATTTCTTAATCAGAATTAATGACTGGAATTAGGGAAGTAGAATTATGTCATTCTAACTGCAAGCAGAAATGAATATTCATCCCTTTTGTTTTCTTTCTTCTAAATGAAGAAAGGGTTCATTTATAAGGCTTTTAGCTTTGGGGATTTTAAATTCGGATTGGTTTTTAGTATTATATTGTTGTGGTTTTTATTGTGTGAGCCACCCCGAATCCTATGGGAGAAGGGCAGCATATAAATTTTAATAATAAATAAATAATAAATATTGTAAGCTTTTCTTTTTTTTCCCTCTTGGCTTTCCATTAGCTCCATCCGTATCTTCAAAGGGTTTCTTTCAACAATTCTGCTGGTGAGACAGTGTCCTTCAATGAGCAAAAGGAAATGAGAGGTGGATTTGACGTTGTGCACATGGTCATTTTTCCAAACAGGTCCTTCGAGAGGGTGAAAATTGGATGGATAGATCCAAATGGACCCCAAGAAGATGAATTTGTCATCAGTGACAATAGGATTTTGTGGCCTAGAGCTTTCAATCAGGTATGTATTCTTGTGGTTTTTTGAGAGAGCCCATGTTCTCCAGTTGGATCACCGACATTGATTTCACATCAAATGAGGTCTGGATTTAGCATAGGTAACATTGCCATGTTTGAAAGACTTCAGGCAAGTGTTCCTTCACTTCTCCATATCATTCCACTTGCTTCCTTGCCTGTACTTTCTCTTTTCCCCAGTTCCCAATTTTGGTTTCTCCGTGGCTTTCATACACATCACCCCAAATAATAGGACTGTTATTATCCTTACTACGAAACCTGGACAGTCAGACCAAAATGCCATAAGGCTGAACATCTGTCCCTCTTATTTTCATTCTAGTGAAATTCAACCTATCTGTTTTTATTAGCATCTGCAGAATCCTCTCTAAGTTTAAGTTTACTTTATTGTCATTGCACCTCGTACAACAAAATTAAATGCCACCTTCAGTGTACATCATACACTGATATACACCACAACAACAACAACAATAATAATCACAACCTTCACATTCTACACAATTGAATTGAAAACCCCTGATACTTTTTAGTATTGCACTATACAGTAGAATTCTACTTAGTTACTGCTCTGGGACATAAGCTGTTTCTCAGGCTCTAAATCTGACTTGTACTTCAATTAAAGTACAAATGAAAAATGTGATGCTTTGTTTATCCTATAGGCTTGGGACCTAGATTCTTGCAAATACTACTTTTCAAAATATTATGATTTCTGTATACAGGTAGCTCTTGACCTATGACCATATTTGGTACCAGATTTTCCACTGTTCCGCTGCCGGCGTCCCGATATAGTCAGCAGGTGCCATCGCTGACTATTGGGGGTGAATCTTTGCCCCCCACAGAGAGGGCTCACAATCTGGGTGTCCTCCTGGACGCATGGCTGTCTTTAGAAGAGCATATGATGGCCGTGGCCAGGGGGGCCTTTTATCAGGTTTGACTGATCCGCCAGTTGCAGCCCTTTCCTGACCGAGACACCTTGCGCACGGTCACTCATGCCCTTGTCACCTCCCGGCTGGACTATTGTAATGCTCTCTACATGGGGCTCCCCTTGAAGAGCACTCGGGGGCTCCAACTGGACCAGAATGCTGCTACGCGGGTGGTTATGGGCGCAACTCGTTGTGCCCGTGTGACACCCCTCCTGTGCGAGCTGCACTGGCTCCCAGTGGTCTTCCAGGTGCAATTCAAGGTGTTGGTTACCACCTTTAAAGCGCTCCATGGCATAGGACCCGGGTACCTTCGAGACCGTCTTCTGCCACCAATAGCCTCCCACCAACCAGTCCGTTCCCACAGAGAGGGTCTCCTCAGGGTGCCATCAGCCAAGTTATGTCAGCTGGCGACACCCAGGGGGAGGGCCTTCTCTGTGGGAGCCCCAGCCCTGTGGAATGAATTGCCCCCGGAAATACGTAAGATCTCCGACCTCCGGGTGTTTCGCTGCGCACTGAAGACCCTGTTGTTCCGCCAGGCAGGGCTATCAACATAATAATTTTAAATTGGGGTATTTTAATTTTTGGGGTTTTAAATCGGCCAAATCTATTTAATTATTTTAATTTTTAATCATTGTTGTGTCCTGTGTTTTAAATTGGCTGTACACCGCCCTGAGTCCTTCGGGAGAAGGGCGGTATAGAAATAAAATTATTATTATTATTATTATTATTATTATTATTATTATTATTATTATTATTATTATTATTATTATGTGAAGCAGCTGTTGAGTTGTGTGTGACTGACTTGACAACATTTTTGTTAAGGTTGTAAAGTGAATCACCACACAGTTTGTGAGACTAGACTGAAGCTGCCATACCTAAAGATGAAGCAGGCGTGCAAAGAAGCTGGGTAGCCAGGAATGTTGTCTAAAAGATTCCTTCAGGAATTACTAAGTCTTTATGGAGATTCACATGTCATCCATGCAGAAGTTGTGAATGCCCCAACACTGGAAATTTTTAAGAAGATTTTGGATAACCATTTGTCTGAAGTGGTGTAGGGTTTCCTCCAAGGTCCCTTCCAACTCTCTTATTCTATTCTATTCTATTCTATTCTATTCTATTCTATTCTATTCTATTCTATTCTATTCTATTCTATTCTATTCTATTCTATTCTATTCTATTCTATTCTATTCTATTCTATTCTTCCATCCAGGATATTGTTGTCCCAAAGGTGCTTTTTCAAAAGGGAGATGTTTTGCTTCTCATCCAAGAAACATCTTCAATTCTAACTGAAGATTTAAAGAAGCTTCTTGAATGAGAAGCAAAATGTCTTCAAACAAAAACAAAGTCCAGTTGCTGTCAGGGTTTCAAGTAAAAGCCCAAATGAAATCAAAACTCCATAGCCAGAGGTTTCCTCAAAGTGGAGATTTATTAGGCATATCATATTGGCACAGCTGGTAAAAACCGACTCTGAAGTTCCCCATGTTTTCCCCACCCAGTTCAAAGTCCAAAGTTCTTCCCCCCGCCCCCCGCATCATACACAACCATCACATTCCCCAATCAGATCTGTCTCCCCATTCTGGATGTCTCCCATCCATGCCTCTCCAGGTGCTTTTGAGACTGTCCTTGGTTCCCAGAAGAAAGAATGTTCCCCTCAGTTATCTATACTCCCCCTCCCTTCCCCCTCTCTTTCCCACAGCTCCATCCAGCCTCACTGTGGCAACCCTGAAGACATTCAAAAATGGCTCCTGCATTGACAGTTTCTTATGAACAAGCACATTTTGGCAAATAACTAATTCGTTAAGGAAAAATATCACCTAAACCAGACAAAAGAAGTTCAGCTATTATTATTATTATTATTATTATTATTATTATTATTATTATTATTATTATTATTATTTAGATTTGTATACCACCCTACTCCCGAAGGACTCCGGTGTCACACGGGAGCGCCATGTCGCTCCCATAACCACCCGCGCGGCCGCACTCTGCGCCTGTTGGAGCCTCCGGGTGCTCCTCAAGGGGAGCCCCATGTAGAGAGCATTACAATAGTCCAGGCAGGAGGTGATGAGGGCATGAGTGACTGTGTGTAGGGAGTCCCGATCCAGAAAGGGACGCAACTGGCGAATCAGGCGAACCTGATGAAAGATCCTCCCGGTCATGGCCGTCAAGTGCTCTTCTAAAGACAGTCGTGAATCCAGGAGGACGCCCAAGTTGCGAGCCCTCTCCGTGGGGGCCAACGATTCGCCCCCAATAGTCAGCGATGGCGTCATCTGACTATATCGGGACATCGGAAACCACAGCCACTCGGTCTTGGATCGGTTGAGCCTGAGCCTGTTCCTCCCCATCCAGATCCGCACGGCCTCCAGGCATCGGGACATCACTTCAAGGGCATTGTTGGGGTCGTCCGGGGTGGAGATGTACAGCTGGGTGTCATCAGCGTACTGGTGGTACTTCACCCCGAAACCATGGATGATCTCGCCCAGCGGCTTTACATAAATGTTGAACAAAAGGGGTGAGAGGACCAACCCTTGTGGCACCCCACATATGTCCTCTCCCACCTGCCAACACAGACTGCAACCGGCCAGAGAGAAAGGAGGCGAACCACCGTAGTACAGTGCCCCCCACTCCTAACTCTTCCAACCGGTGCAGCATGATACCATGGTTGATGGTATCAAAAGACCGCTGAGAGGTCTAACAGGACCAGGACAGAGGAGCACCCCCTGTCCCGAGCCCTCCAGAGATCATCTACCAACGCGACCAATGCTGTTTCCGTGCTGTACCTGGGCCTGAAGCCCGACTGGAACAGATCCAGATACATCGTTTCATCCAGGTGCTGGGGAAGCTGTTGCGCAATCACACTCTCGACAACCTTCACCACAAAATGAAGGTTGGAGACCGGACGATAATTAACCAACATTGCCGGGTCCAAGGCGGTGGTGAAATCACCCTCACCCAGCGAAGCATTTATAATCCCCTGGAGCCAGCCTCGCGTCACCTCCTGGGAATCCAGCACTAATGAGAAGTGGATTTGACATTGTGCAGATGGTCATTTTTCCAAACAGGTCCTTTGAGAGGGTGAAAATTGGATGGATCAATCCAAATGGCCCCCAAGAAGATGAATTTGTCATCAGTGACGATATGATTTTGTGGGATAGAGCTTTCAAACAGGTACTGTATGAATTCTTGTGGTTTCTTGAGAGAGCCCATGTTTTCGAGATGCATCACTAACATTGATTTCACATCACATATATATGATTTAGCATATATAACATTGCCATGTTTGAAAGACCTCAAGCAAGTGTTCCTTCACTTCTCCATATTATTCCACTTGCTTCCTTGCCTCTACTTTCTCTTTCCCCCAGTTCCCAATTTTGGTTTCTCAATGGCTTTCACACATTATCCTAAATAATAGGATAGTGACTCCATCACTGAGTATTGGGGCGAGTCCTTGGCCCCCACAGAAAGGGCTCGCAATCTGGGAGTCCTCCTGGATAGGCAGCTGTCCTTGGAGGAACATCTGACGGCTGTAACTAGGGGGACCTTTTATCAGGTTCGCCTGATTCGCCAGTTGCGGCCCTTTCTTGATCGGGATTCCCTGTGCACAGTCACTCACACCCTCGTCACCTCTCGCCTTGACTACTGCAATGCTCTCTACATGGGGCTCCCCTTGAGGGGCACCCGGAGGCTCCAGCTGGTCCAGAACGCAGCAGCGCGGGTAGTGATGGGAGCAGCATGGCGCTCCCATGTAACACTGCTCCTGCGTGAGCTGCACTGGCTCCCAGTGGTCTTCCGGGTGCGCTTCAAGGTGTTGGTTATCACCTTTAAAGCACTCCATGGCATAGGGCCTAGCTATCTTTGAGACCACCTGCTGCCACCGACGCCCTCCCAGCGACCCATGCGCTCCCACAGAGAGGGCCTCCTCAGGGTGCCATCAGCCAAACTGTCAGCATCAGCTTTCCTGCTTTAGCTGCCATAAGAAACGGGGAGGGATTAGGTATGGAGCAGAGGGGGGGAAGAGAGCAGGAGGGGGTTTGTCTTTGTAGGAGGGTACTTCGGGGAAATCGAAACTACATTTCAGAAGGGGATGGCTGACCAACTGTCCTGACATTCCTGATGGATGACGCTGCCAGACGTGTTGCCACCTGACCTTTGGAAGACCTTTAGATTGGCTGAGAAACTATAAACACGAGGGGGGGAAGAAGCTTAGTAGATGCATTTCGCGCGTTTTGATCACTTCCAGCTTTTCACTGGGATGTTAATCTTTTCATATTCAGTAAAAGTACCAGATTCTTCAAAATGCTTGAGTTTGGGGTTTTCTTTCCTGGATACTGAAGGAAGCATACCTGACACAAACAATGCAGGCTGGTGACCCCCAGAGGGAGAGCCTTCTCTGTGGGGGCACCTACCCTCTGGAATCAGCTGCCCCCAGAGATAAGGAGAATCCAAGACCTCAGTGCCTTCCGCTGTGCCCTTAAAACCCACTTTTTCCAGCAAGCCGGGCTGGCTTAGGAAGAAATTTTTTAAAATTTTTAAATGTTTAATTGGTTTGTGGTTTTTTAAATTTTGGGCCAAATTTATATAGATTTTAATTCTTTTTAATATTTGTATTTCATGTTTTTAATTCTGGCTGTGCACCGCCCTGAGTCCTCAGGGAGAAGGGCGGTATATAAATTGAAAAATAAAATAAAAATAAATAAATAAAAATAAATAATAGGACTGTTATTATCTTTACTACAAAACCTTGACAGTCAAACCAAAATAACATGAGGCTGAACATCAGGTTTCTTGTGAAACCTCAATCTTTCTATTTTTATTAACATTGGCAGAATCCTATCTAAATCTGATTTTTACCTCAATTAAAGTACAAATGCAATATGTGATGCTTTGTTTATTTTATAGACTTGGGACCTAGATTTTTCCAAATATTACCATATGCAACCATTTTTTGAAAATATGATTTCTGTATACAGGTAGTTCTTTGACTTATGACCATATTTGGTACCAGATTTTCCACTGTTATGCAAAGCAGTTATTGAGTTGTGTGACTGACTTTACAACATTTTTCTCAAGGTTGTAAAGTGAATCACCGCAGTTTGTGAGGCTAGACTGAAGCTGCCATACCTAAAGATGAAGCAGGCATGCAAAGAAGCTGGGTAGCCAGGAATGTTGTCTAAAAGATTCCTTCAGGAATTACTAAGTCTTTATGGAGATTCACATGTCATCCATGCAGAAGTTGTGAATGCCCCAACACTGGAAATTTTTAAGAAGATTTTGGATAACCATTTGTCTGAAGTGGTGTAGGGTTTCCTCCAAGGTCCCTTCCAACTCTCTTATTCTATTCTATTCTATTCTATTCTATTCTATTCTATTCTATTCTATTCTATTCTATTCTATTCTATTCTATTCTATTCTATTCTATTCTATTCTATTCTATTCTATTCTATTCTTCCATCCAGGATATTGTTGTCCCAAAGGTGCTTTTTCAAAAGGGAGATGTTTTGCTTCTCATCCAAGAAACATCTTCAATTCTAACTGAAGATTTAAAGAAGCTTCTTGAATGAGAAGCAAAATGTCTTCAAACAAAAACAAAGTCCAGTTGCTGTCAGGGTTTCAAGTAAAAGCCCAAATGAAATCAAAACTCCATAGCCAGAGGTTTCCTCAAAGTGGAGATTTATTAGGCATATCATATTGGCACAGCTGGTAAAAACCGACTCTGAAGTTCCCCATGTTTTCCCCACCCAGTTCAAAGTCCAAAGTTCTCCCCCCCCATCATACACAACCATCACATTCCCACTGTTATGCAAAGCAGTTATTGAGTTGTGTGGCTGACTTTACAACATTTTTCTCAAGGTTGTAAAGTGAATCAGTACAGTTTGTGAGACTAGACTGAAGCTTCCATACCTAAAGATGAAGCAGGCATGTAAAGTGGCTGGGTAGCCATGAATGTTGTCTAAAAGATTCCTTCAGGAGATAGATAAGGAGTTACTAAGGCTTTATGGAGATTCACAGTCATCCAGGATATGGTTGTCCCAAAGATGCTTTTTCAAAAGGCAAACTCTGAAGTTCCCTACCCAGTTCAAAGTCCAAAGTTCTTCCCCCCATCATACACAACCAACACATGCCCCCAATCAGGTCTCTCTCCCCATTCTGTATGTGTCCCATCCATACCCCTCCAGGTCCTGGTGAGAGTGTCCTTGGTTCCCAGAAGAAAGAATGTTATTTTGGCTACACATTCACCTCAGCAATCTGTACTCCTCCCCTCTCTTTCCCACAGCTCAGTCCAGCCTCACTGTGGCAACACTGAAGATGTTCCAAGATGGCTCCAGGGCTGATAGTTGTCTTATGAACAAGCACATTTGGGACAAATAATAATAATAATAATAATAATTTTATTTCTATACCGCCCTTCTCCCGAAGGACTCAGGGCGGTGTACAGCCTGTTTAAAAACACAAAGAAAACAACAATATAAAATTTAAAATAATTAAATAAAGTGGCTCAGATTTAAAACCCCAATAAATTTAAATATCCCAATTTAAAAACTATTGTGTTGTTAGTCCGGCCTGGCGGAACAACAGGGTCTTCAGTGCGCAGCGAAACGCCCGGAGGTCGGAGATCTTACGAATTTCCGGGGGCAGTTCGTTCCACAGGGCTGGGGCTCCCACAGAGAAGGCCCTCCCTCTGGGCGCCGCCAGTCGACATAACTTGGTTGACGGCACCCTGAGGAGACCCTCCCTGTGGGAACGGACTGGTCGGTGGGAGGCTATTGGTGGCAGAAGACGGTCTCGGAGGTACCCGGGTCCTATGCCATGGAGTGCTTTAAAGGTGGTAACTAACACCTTGAATCGCACCCGGAAGACCACTGGGAGCCAGTGCAGCTCGCGCAGGAGGGGTGTCACATGGGCACAACGAGTTGCGCCCATAACCACCCGCGCGGCTGCATTCTGGACCAGTTGGAGCCTCCGAGTGCTCTTCAAGGGGAGCCCCATGTAGAGAGCATTACAATAGTCCAACCGGGAAGTAACAAGGGCATGAGTGACCGTGTGTAGGGCTTCCCGATCCAGAAAGGGCTGCAACTGGTGAATCAGGCGAACCTGATAAAAGGCCCCCCTGGCCACGGCCGTCATATGCTCTTCTAAAGACAGCCGTGCATCCAGAAGGACACCCAGATTGCGAGCCCTCTCTGTGGGGGGCAGAGATTCACCCCCAATAGTTAGCGATGGCACCTGCTGACTATATCGGGGCGCCGGAAGCCACAGCCACTTGGTCTTGGAGGGGTTGAGTCTGAGCAAGTTCTTCCCCATCCAGACCCGCACGGCCTCCAGGCAGCGAGACATCACATCAAGGGCATCGTTGGGGTGGTCTGGGGTGGAGATGTACAGCTGAGTATCATCAGCGTACAGATGGCACTTCACCCCAAAACCACGGATGATCTCACCCAGCGGCTTCACATAAATATTGAACAGGAGGGGCGAGAGGACTGACCCTTGCGGCACCCCCCATGTGAGACGCCTCGAGGTCGACCTCTGTCCCCCTGCCAACACAAACTGCGAGCGGTCGGAGAGGAAGGAGGAGAACCACCGCAAAACGGTGCCCCCTATTCCTAACCCCCTCAACCGCTGCAGCATGATACCATGGTCGATGGTATCAAAAGCCGCTGAGAGATCTAATAGGACTAGGACAGAGGAGCAACCCCTGTCCCGAGCCCTCCAGAGATCATCCACCAACGTGACCAATGCCATTTCTGTGCTGTACCCCCGCCTGAAGCCCGACTGGTACGGGTCTAGATAGATCAATTAATAACAAAGTCATTAAGGAAATAAAGGAAAAATATCACCTAAACTAGACAAAAGAAGTTCAGTTAGAGCAGATGGGAACACCCCCTCCCCAAATTCTCATAAATATGAACCGTTGTCAAGGATCTGGATTTTGATCACATGATCATAGGGATCTGCAAAGGTTGTAAGTGTGAAAAACAGCCATAAATCACTTTTTTCAATCCAGTTGTAAACTTCGAATGGTCATTAAATGAACTGTTGTAAGTCAAGGACCATCTGTACATAGATATACCTAAATGCATCTCTCTCATTCCAGTTTCTTTTCTGTTTATATTAGGTCTGTCCCCTTTCAGTGTGTAATGAACAGTGCCATCGTGGAAAACACAAGAAAAAGAAGGAAGGGGAAAAATTTTGTTGCTATGACTGTGTTCCTTGCCCTGAAGGGGAGATTTCAAGCAAAACAGGTACATTAACCATTGCTATAACAGTCTCTTGTTTCTCATCTAACAGCAGTAATGTAAGATGCTGCATCAGTTAGCTAACCAGAACTCTGAAACTGACATCTCTTGAATACATAGCCAGCATATTGTCAAGGAGTGCTGTGACTTTCTCACGAAAGTGGTACCTGTTTATCTGCTCACATTTGCATGCTTTCAAACTTCTAGGTTGGCAGAAGCTGTGGCAAGGACAGGAGCTCACTCCATCATATGGCACTCACTTCTCATCCAAGAAGCTAAAGAAGAGCTGAAGAAGCTTCTTGGATGAGAAGCAAAGCATCTTCAAAGAAAAACCAAAAAGTCCAGTTGCCTCTTGAAAAAGCACCTTTGGATCTTCTTCTACTTATGTGAAATCCAAAGCAGTCCATGTTACATTTGGTGGCTCTGAGTGAAGGTCATCCAACTGATTTTCTGTCTAAGGTGGGAGTAGGACTCACAATTTTCACAATTGTTTCTTACTGAATGTCGTAATCATGAGGTCAAGTTGACACACACACTGAGAGAGAGAGAGAGAGAGAGAGAGAGAGAGAGAGAGACAGACAGACAGACAGACAGACAGACAGACAGACAGACAGACAGACATGCGTACCCCCCCCACACACATCCATCCATACACACACACACACACACATACACATACATATACAAGAGATGTGGTGGCTCAGTGGCTAAGACACTGAGCTTGTCGATCTGTTGTGGCCCGCATATTGTTGCTGAACCTGACGACGAGGAGGCTGGTATGGTGCTACACCAGCAGCCAGTGCAACCGGCGCTCGAGTTGGACAGCGAGGAGGCTGAAGAAGATATGGTGCCAGAGGCAGGGATCCAGTCAGGGACTTCAGAACCTCCAGAGGCTCCTTTAAGTACAGACGATGAAAAGGAGAAGCCTCTTCTCAATGCACGGGCACAAAGAGCTGCCAAAAGGCAAGAGTGGTTCCTCAGGAGGAGGTCTCCTTGAGAGTAATGCTTGGGGCTAATTGGCCACTCCCTTAGCGTATTTAAGAAAGGACGCAGCTTGCAACAAGCTGCAGGAAACAACTTTAGTTCGCTAATCATCGTGTTTGGGATTTCTCTGCAACCTGGTTTCTGGGCTTTCTGCCAACTTCAGTAAGACTCTGACTATCTTATCTGTGGAATTCTGGCAGGCTGTTAAGAACGCTTATTAACAGCTGGCATTTGCTAAAACTGTGTTATTAGAGTAAACTAAGTTCTGTTCAGAGTTTGTGTGTGCTGTGTTCTTTGGGATCCGTAGCTGGGACAGAACATGATCAGAAGGTCACCAGTTTAGCGGTTCAAATACTTAGTGCCGCATAACAGGGTGAGCTCCCGTTACTGGTCCCAACTTCAGCACTTCGAAAGCAGGTAAAAAATGGAAGTAGAAAAATAGGGACCACCTTTGGTGGGAAGGTAACAGTATTCTGTGCGCCTTTGGCATTTAGTCATGCTGGCCACATGACCATGGAGACGTCTTCGGACAGCACTGGCTCTTCGGCTTTGAAATGGAGATGAACACTGCCCCCTAGAGTCAGGAAGGACTAGCACATATGTGTGAGGGGAACCTTTACCTTACTATATATATATATGTAGGTCTTCTTCGGGTCTTCTCCCACGTAAAATTGGAAGTGTCTTGGCAATGTTTCGACGAAACAAAATTTGCTCCTGGAAGCACGAAGCCGAGAACACCAGCCTGAAGATGACGAATGAGACTTCGTCGAAATGTCGCCAAGACGAATGAGACTTCGTCGAAAACGTCGCCAAGACACTTCAATTTTACGTGGGAGAAGACCCGAATAACCAAAGACCTACATACAAACACCCGCGAAAACCTGAGAAAACATATATATATGTATATATATATATACACACACACACATATACACACACATATACACACACGTATAGATACATGTGCACATAAACATGCAGGATGTTACAACAACTCTGCTTGGGAGACAAAGTGCTATACATAAATTGACCTGAATTCTTTCTTCCTTCTTTCCTTTCTGTCCAACTGTCTTAAAGATATGGAAAAATGCTTCAAATGTCCAGAAGACCAATACCCAACCAAAGGAAAAGATGACTGCATCCACAAAGTTGTAACATTCCTTTCTTACAAGGAACGTCTAGGGTTTTCTTTGGCCTCCGTTTCTATTTCATTATCGGTGATCACTGCTCTCATATTAGGAATATTTCTTAAGCACAGAGATACCCCTCTGGTCAAAGCCAACAACCGGGACCTCACCTACATTCTCCTTATCTCCCTCCACTTCTGCTTTGTGTGTCCTCTCCTGTTCATTGGTCAACCCAGTGAAGTCACTTGCCTTCTCCGACAACCAACCTTTGGCATCATCTTCTCCGTGGCTGTTTCTTGCATCTTGGCCAAAACCTTCACTGTGGTTGTAGCCTTCATGGCTACCAGGCCAGGCTCCAATATGAAGAAGTGGGTGGGAAAAAGGATGGCAACCTCCATTGTCCTTTTCTTCTCTCTCATCCAAGTTAGCCTTTGTGCCATCTGGCTAGGATCTTCCCCTCCATTCCCACAGTTGAACATGCATTCTGTGACCGAGGCCGTCATCAATGAATGTAACGAAGGCTCTCTGGTCATGTTCTCCTGTGTCCTAGGCTACATGGGCTTCCTGGCTCTTGCTAGCTTCTTTGTGGCCTTCTGTGCTCGCAGATTACCGGACAGCTTCAATGAAGCCAAATTCATTACCTTTAGCATGCTGGTATTTTGCAGTGTTTGGGTGCTATTTGTTCCAACTTACCTGAGCTCCACGGGAAAAGCCTTGTTGGCTGTGGAGATCTTCTCCATCTTAGCTTCTAGTGCTGGATTACTGGGCTGTATCTTTTTCCCTAAATGCTACATCATTATATTGAGACCTGAGATGAATACCAAGGATCAGCTAGTAAGAAGAAAGAACTGAAGAATTCAATTCCTTTACTTTCTGGTACAATGTTGATTAGTACGTGTAAGATTTTGGGATCAAAAATTCATTGTAATATCATATATCTTTTCCCCTAAATGCTACATTCTGTTGAGATCTGAGCTGAATACCAAGGATCAGCTAATAAGAAGAAAGGATTAAAGTAATGTTGCCCAACATGAGGAAATTCCAGGTATATGAACTTCTGGAATAATCATTAATAGCAACGATAGTTGCAGAATTCTGGAATCTGTAGTGCACCCTTCTTGGAGTTGAGAAACACTGCATGAATGGATTTTCTTTTATTATCTGTTGTTACTACATTCAAATTGTCTGTATAAGATTTGGGGATTAAAACATTTATTGTCTGAGCCATTGTATTTGTGCAACTTCTCCAATACAGCCATACAAAGTTCTCACACTTCTCCTCCGAGCATTATATTGCAATGATCAGAGGAAAGCATCTTGTATTGCAAATCAACAAGGAATCTGGAATCCTGTCCAGAAGAATGCCAGGGTCCTAAAGTTCTATAACTAAGTAGCTTATATAACATCCACAATATTATCTAGGACAGGGGTGTCAAACTCGATTTAATTGAGAGTCGCATCAGAGTTGTGTTTGAGGGCTGCATCAGAGGTGGGCATGGCCAGTTTGACATCATTCCTGTCAGGGATCCCTTTAGTGGCCTAAGTGCTCTGCCAGTGAAAATGGGCTCCTGAGCTCTGTTTCCGGCCGTGACAGCCTCCTGCAATGCTCTGCCAGCGAAAATGGAGCCCAGGAGGGCCCCATGCATGCTACCCCTTGTGATCTCCGTTTCTGGCTGCGACAGCCTCCTGCAATCCTCTGCCAGCAAAAAGGGAGCCCAGGAGGGCCACATGCAGCCCTCGCAAGTTGTGTTCCAATACTTGAGAGGCTGCCCCAGAGAGGAGGAGGGGGTCAAGCTATTATTCCAAGGCACCTGATGGCCAGACAAGGAATAATGGATGGAAACTGATCAAGGAGAGATTCAACCTGGAAATAAGGAGAAATTTTCTGACAGTGAGAGCAATCCACCAACGGAACAGAAGTTGCCTTCGGAAGTTGTGGGAGCTTCATCAGTGGAAGCCTTCAAGAAGAGATTGGACTGCCATTTGTCAGAAATGGTGTAGGGCCTCCTGCTTGGGTGAGGGAGTTGGACTAGATAACCTAAAACTCTGTTCATCTGTTATCTGAAGTCACGGTAGCAATCCATTCCAGGGAAGGTGACAGTTGTTACGTTAATCAGAACTGGACAAAAAGATTTCCAAGTCATAGCTTCCACCTGAATTTTTAGCAGTAGTCATGAATCCAGGCAGAGACCCAGTTGTGAATTGCTACCGGTTTGCCCCCAGATCTGGTGAACTGGTAGTGGTGGTGGCGGGAGGCTCCGTCCACTCACCTGGATGTTTTTGCACATGCAATGTTTCTGCGCCCACGAACAAACCGGTAGTGACCGAAATTGCAACCCACTACTGCAGAGACCCAAATCATAGACCCCCTTCTTCTGAATGAAAAATAGAAGATTTGGTAATTTGTGTCTTCGCTCCTATCTACCAGAATTTGATTTCACAGCCGACCAATAGTAAACCATTAAAAAGACCCAATGGAGTTCCACTTCTACCTATAATACATTTTACGTAATTCTGTCTGAACTCAAATTCTCCTTATTTTATTTATTTAGCATATGGCAAATGCATGGACTTATAGTTGTTTATCCATAGAGAGCCAGCAGTTCTACAAAGATGTCCTCAATTCTTCAATGTAGAAGAATTCACTTGTTGCTAGTCACTTGGTTCACACTACTGTGTTATCCAGGGTGCACCACGAGGAGGTGAACTAGCATCACACCCCTCAAGAAGAGACTGGACTGCCATTTGTCAGAAATGGTGTAGGGTCTCCTGCATGGGTGGAGAGTTGGACTAGATGACCTACAAGGTCCCTTCCAACTCTGTTAAATTCTCCTATTGTCCATTAATGTGGTCATCCTAAACTTTTTTCTTTGACTTAACCCACAAAATAAATGCAACTTATTAAATTATTTTATCTTTTGCTTTCTTGTTGCTGTGCTATACGATAGGGATTCCTTGTTACAGCTTTCATTGTCTTCCCTGCAATTACGCCAGTCGTAATAATTGCTATTTCTCAATTGCAAACTCCAGCAGATTTCCCAAAGTTAAAAAAAAGAGAAAAGAAAAACAGCTGATGTGTAAGTTTAAACCTGATTATAAAACCCCTTTACTCCTGGTCATTCACGGTTGGGCTAGCCAGGGAGAAGACGCAAATGTGGCTGAGTTTTTTAATTTTATTTTCCCTTTCCATGCTATGACACTTCTCATTGTGGAATGTTGCTGGAACACTTTGCTGAAATCAAATTCAGTGATAAGGTTCTTGATGGGGATATGAGCACCTAATCTGCAGCTAGATGATGATATTAGAAGTCTTGTTTTTATTTTTACCTTATGTGGGAAACAATGTCAGTTCAAGAGACTGTTTTTCACCTGATCCTATTCCTATTCCTCACGAATCCTATCAGCCAGGTGACTTCCTCATAGGTGGGATTACATCTCAAATGTGGTACTTTTTTCATGAACTTTCCTTCCAAAAACAACCTTCACAGGACCTGAGCTTCAAATTTCCAATGTAAGAAACTCTTGGACCTGATTTTTAGAGCAACTCCATTCTCTTTTTCTGTGAAAGAAAAGAGTTGGTTGAGCAACTTTGCAAATCACAGGATTTGGTGATATGCAAAATGTAATGAATTTATGTAGGAGTGAATGAATGAATGAGATGCATGCATGAGATGGTTCAGAATGCATGAGGTGGTTCAGAAGTTCATACTTGCAACGTCTAAGGATCAATGAAAGGAAGTGGGGAAACGAGTGAAGGATTAACTTAAACATTCTCTGGTATTCTCTCCATCTACAGTAGTGGCCAAAATTGTGGGAACCTTTTGAGAAAAGTGTATTTTTTTAGGTTAGATGGTTAATAACACCATTTTTTGGGGGGGAGGGAGTTTCAAGATAATCATATTCCACCGATGGAATGGCCTGGGAATAGCCCAGACCTTAAACCCATGGAGCCAACTAAAGAAACTTGTTAGTCAGAAGCGACCCAGCAATAAAACCCAGTTAATTGAAGGAATCATTCCATCTTGGTGTAGCTGCAGAACTAAAAGGCTTGGTTCACTCCAGGGGGAAGATATTGTAAGGCTGTAATTCAGGCTAAAGGTGACCCAATGAAGTATTAACTGACATGGTGATAATTTTTGCACATCCCATTTTTTCTATGGTGATAATTTTTTGTTTATCTCATTTTTTTCTACATGTTTCCCTTTTCTTCTTTATACTGTAACTGCTATTCTAATATTCTATTCTAACTTGAACCCCCCTGTCTTCTTTGTGGCAGCCCCTCAAATACTGGAATGCTGCTCTCATGTCCCTCCTAGTCCTTCTTTTCTCCAGACTAGCCAAAACCAAATCCTGCAACCATTTCTTCACATATATTTGTTTCCAGGTCTTTAATCATCTTAGTTGCTCTTCTCTGGGACTTTTTCCAAAGTCTCAGCATCTTGTTGGTGATGTCAATGGCTACTGCCTGGGCTAGTCCATTCAATTTTCTTGGTGGCATTTTCTAAAGTGGTTTGTCCTTGCCTTCTTCTTCCTAGGATTGAGGGACAGTAACTGGTCCAAGGTCACCCATCCGACTTTGTGCTCCAGGCAGAGGTAGAACTCTTGGACTGCTGGTTTCTAAGCCTGATTCCTTAATCACTACACCAAACAGGCTCTCACCCTATCAGTTAACAGTATGTTACAATATGTTAACAACCCCATTGTATGAGTTACCATATTTTTAGGAGTATAAGATGCACCGGAGTATAAGACGCATCTTATTTTTGGGGAGGAAAATAAGAAAAAAAGCTGATTGGAGGGTGGATCAGCTGCCCGGAATGTTTGGAGGCTTTTTTTTTTTTCTGAAGCTTCATTTCTGATGCTTTTTTCAGCCTCTGAAACCTCAGTTTGAGAAGCTGGGCAGGGCTACAGTCAGAGTATAAGACGCACCCAGATTTTCACCCTTTTTTGGGGGGGGGGAAAGGTACATCTTATACTCCGAAAAATATGGTATATGTTAAAAGTTCCTCTTTTTGAGGATCTGATCCAATTCTTCCAAACAGAATTTTCTTCTGTTCCTTCCCTTTGAATCATTCATGTTTCCTTCCATCTGTTTCTGATTCAGCCCAAGTTCTATCTCCATGACCAATCCATCTCAATATGTAAAATGCAGAAGTGGTATTCTTCTGGTTCGCACTGGTTCGGGCAAACTGGTAGCGGCGACTGCAGGTGAGCCCGTCCACCCACCCAGACGTAATGCTGTCATATTTAGCCACATTTTCGAGGCCAGGCGCATCCGCAGAAGGTGCACACACAAGCAAAGTGAACCGGTGGTAAACATTTCTGAAACCCACCGCTGGTAAAGTGGTGTGTGACTGTGGCAGAAACAAGGATCCATTCCCCAGCTTTCTGCATGTATGTCTGAATGCTTATCTACTGTATTTTGTCCCATGTTTTTTTTTTCAAGAGGCAACTGGACTTTCTGGTTTTTCTTTGAAGATGTTTTGTTTCTCATCCAAGAAGCTTCTTCAGCTACTGTACTTTGCTTTGCAAGTCCCATACAAAAGAGACGTCTTTGAAACAGCTGTAAGAGCAGCTCGTGGCTGCTTTAAAGCTTCACTAGGGAGTGTGCTTTGCTTATCCAATCTTGTTTCCAGTTTGTAAAAGTATGTTTTTTTATTTTCTTTTTTGGAGCTTGCATTTTAATTTTTTTTAATACACTTCTCTGATATAATATTTATTTATTTATTTATTTATTTATTTATTTATTTATATATTTTTTTAATTTATTTAATTTGTATACCGCCCTTCTCCAACAGGACTCAGGGCGGTGAACAGCCACGGTAAAAACACAACATATAAAATTTAAAAACAATTTTAAAAACATTAAATGATTTTGGCCATCAGTTTAAAATAACCCAATTAAAACCAATTATAAATTTAAAACCGCAAGGATGGGGTCAAGCCAGCCCGGCTAGATAAAATAGATGTGTTTTCAGGGCCTGACGAAAAGTCCAGAGGTCTGGTATCGTGCGTATCTCTGTGGGTAGGTTGTTCCAGAGGGCAGGTGCCGCCACAGAGAAGGCTCTCCCCCTGGGGAGATAATACTGACATCCCTTATTTATATTCTCTGTATTGATTCCAAAGTTACCATATTTTTCAGAGTATAACCGGGTGCCATCGGCTAGACAATATCGGCTGGCGGCCTCCAGGGATAGAGCTTTCTCTGTGGGAGCGCCCACTCTTTGGAA